CACGGGCGGAATTCCTTTGATTTAGGTGCGATATGTCTCTTTTGTTTCGAATTTTGTTGCTTGATTGACCTTTTAATCCCCATTGTTACCTGATGAGTATTAAATTTATCCATTAAAATACTCGGACTTGCCTGTCAAATTTGCTGCAGTCTGTGGGAACGCTTACAAGTCTTTTAAGCATGGCGGACAACTCTGGTTGCATAACATATTTTCGGTCACGCACCGTATTTCAAAGGAAACAAGCCTGATAAATTTTAAGTTGATTAAAGCTTATAAATACGTGGTCTCCAATAGTATTTTTTTATTAAATACTCTCTTGCGTTGAAAATAATTTGGCGTTGAAAGAATTGTTGCGGAAGTTATTTATTAGAACGTTTTATTCATTCAGTAGCTCTGCAATCAAGAGCGAACAACTCCTTTCAAAATGTAAACAACTCAAGTGGTGAATGCATTTAACGGGATGACACAGTTTTATTAGAGTGTAATACGTTTTCGCTTGCCGTTCAGATTTTGTTGTTGTTGAACAAAACCTTGCGTTTCAGTTACGTGACTGCAGGGCCCGAAATTGTCAGTTCACCGATTTGCATGACAACTTGATTCACGGAGTAGTCGAGTGAGATGGGAAATATCTAAAATCAAAACAAGAGCTGTAATCGACAGATCAAAACTTGTGGAGTTCACAATTCCTCGAAATAATTTTGTAGAAACGCTTGTATAGTTTCATTGCTCTGGAGAAATGACTAACTGTTTTGATTGAATGAATGGATAACTCTCGCCCGATTTTATTAAGCGATAGGCGAGAAAACATGATTCAGCGGCTTGGTTTGTACTTCAAAACCTCGGCAAGCAAAAAAATCCAATCTCGGTCCACAGTGGTCGAAATTCAAGATCCCTTTTTGAAGCACTCAAAATTCTCCTTTTTGAAAAATACGTGTCCAAGTCGAAAAAGTTTTGCGAAAGACTTAAATCCATAAACTTCTACCGCAATATGTGCGATAATTCTCTGCAGTTTTATTGACACACTTAGAACAAAAGGATACCTTTAAAACTTCGCGGCCCTTGGCAGCTTAATTAAGCCATTGTTCAATTCCTTTGAATTCGCTTCTGAGTCTTCCGCCATAAAATCTCACGTTCTTTGAACCGAGTCAAAACGAGCACCCTCGAAGAGAAAGTCTGGAGGAATAAATTGAGCCTTCAGGGTAAAAAATCCAGCAGTTATGCCCATTTCTGAAATACACACTTAAATCGGCGTGAAGTTGTAATGAAATATTGTGTCAATTATCAAGTACGTATGCCAACATAAGTATCCTCCTGTACAAAATATCCAGTAGCCTTGTAATCTCAGGCTTCGTATATTAGTATGAAAAAAGGAGAGGCTAGATTCATGGGCCTCATTACTGCTGATTAACCATGTAAAGGTAGAAGGAGAGCAATAATTGCAACAAACGATCTCATATTGAAACAGTAGAAAACGTTTTCCGTGTTTGCATAGCCTGATATAAACACAAGAGGGGTTAAGAGAATTCGAGACAGTTACGCAAACCCGAGATGAAGTCGAGGGTTTGCATAACTGTCGAGAATTCTCCCAACCCCGCGAGTTTTTATATCAGGATATGCAAACACAGGAAAAAAGTTTTCTATTGCTTTTATAGATTACCTAACCCGAGAAAAAGAGCAAAACTCTCTTGTTTAGAGGATTGATTAAAAGAGAAATTGTTAAAAGTCACTAAGTCTTGTACACGAAGCTTGTACACGTAGTCAGTCTTTGTCTTGCAAAAAAGATGCTTTCCAAAATACAGGTTTTTCTTGCTTAAAATGCCAGCTCAAGGGAAAGCAAATTGACACAGCATGTTTCTAAAGATTTTTCAAGTTTCAACATATGAGAAAATGGGTAAGTAAAGTAAACTTGTCGAGTTTTTCAAATTCGTGCTTGCATGATTAGCGTGCAAAAAGGCAAAACATCTTGATGTCACAACTGTGTTTACATACTGTCATGCAAATTCGCCTCTCGGCCAATCAAGCGCGCGTATTATCTTAGTTATTCTATAAAAAGCATTATAATTTATGGGTCAATGTTAGAGTTGGCACATTAAGACTAAATAAGTCAAGGTCATGAAAATATGCTCACAAGCCTTTCGGAATACTTCTTTGTTGGTAAATGCAAATTGTTAAACTGACCATGAGTGTAAAAAATGATATTAACTCCATGGTAAGACAATTATTGAAACAGTACTTTCTTGGACTTTGTCTCTTTAGCGAAGGTGATAATTTGACATTTGCTAATTTGTAACAGTCCTCCTGTGCCATTCTTTGTAGTACACCAAGGTCTTTCACTCTTATGGGTCACCTGTTTTCAGATTGCCAAAGGTAAATGACTTGGTCCTTTGCCCAGCATTAAGCATAACTGAACCTGGTCTTAAACTTCTTTGCTTCGAATAGGAACCCTTGCTCATTTGGTGTTAGATGGTCTAAGATCATGACATTCAAAAGATCCCCGTCAAGATCAATGGCTGTCAGGCCCACTTCAGTGATTTGCCGTTGATGCGATAATTATGAATTCTTTCCGAGCAATTCCCTGCACAAATTTGCAAATTGTAGGTTTTGGACCATTCGAAGAAGCATCTTGGGGTGGGTACTCTATGGGCAGTATCTATATTGTTGAGAGTAACATTACCACCTATTGAATTGAATAGGCAAATGCATAGTTAAGCCATCTCAACAGCAGGTTCTCAGCTAGTAGGATCAATCTCTGGAATGCCCAATAGCTTGACATTAAAGCTGTAACTGTATTTGACTAGGTCATCCAATAGTCTTGCCGTTTCATTAACTTGAACAGTAAGAGACTTGAGGCGGTCTTTAAATGCAGCAAGATCTCTCTTTGCCGCTATACAGAAACAGTCAAGTCGTCATACTCATCACTAACGAACTGTCACATCTTGGTATTTTTGGAATCTGGTCCAGGTTGACTTTTACCGCCATGTTTGGTTGTTCAACTCTTGTGTGATATGAAAGTCTCTTCAAGTTGGCTGAATTCATTACACTAGGTTTGAAGTCCTTTTGTCATTGAATCATTCTGATGTTGCAGTGCTTTAACTTGAGTTGTCCGCTTTTCCAGACATAATTATGAGACAATTTCAACCAAAACTCTACTAGCTCAAAGCGCACGTCCACTCACTCACATTGCATGTGTGCAAGTACCATTAATTCGACTCCCGGTAACTTGAACCCTTGCTAACTCCAACCCTATGCTAACTCAAACCAAAATCTATTTCTCCTGGATTTCGTTTATGCATTTACTTTCATTTTACCCTCAGTTGAAGTAATTTTTGTTTCCTTCAGATCGTTATTTTCTATATAAAAATACTCTCAATAACTTGAACCATGCTTTAAGTGCCAGACAAATTTTCAAAAATTACGGTAGTCTGAAACATTGAAATTAAATAACGAATATGAAAAATTAACTTGTTTTGTTCATCATTAACCGAGATTTACCGACAACTGACAAATATCGAAAATTTTAACTGACAGCCGACAAAGTAATGAAATCTTTACTGACAACCGACATGTGGATCCGCCCATTCAGACCCTCAGTGTTTCATACAATATCCAGACATCTCGAAGTTGGTGTTTAAAACACTTGGCTGCGCATCGTTTTTCAACCCACTTCTCAGTGTCTGGATATCGGATCAAACACTGCATGTTGTTTCTAATATATTACAGCAAATATAATATGGTTTTATAATTTTTACATAGGGTATTATATGTTAATCCCGTGCCTTATAATCTTGACCCCTCTCACATTTTCCTTATAGAAGCCCTGGCCGTTTCTGGGATGTCAGTAAAGCGATTCTAATTTTAAGTAATTATTAGAGACAATCAACTTTCTCTTAATATATTCTATACACTTGTAAATTATTTTATTGTATGCTGTACCTTATTTATTATAAGTATAGTGATAGCTATAATAATAATGAAATCTAATGTATAGATCTATAGGCCTCCATGGCCTTCCTTGCCTTTTGAAATTCTTTTCTGAATGTGTATATTTTGTGCAATTTATTGTTTTTTCCTTTCATTTATATGTATAAGAGGCATTTAAAAAAATCAATAAACCAATAAGAAGACAAGCCTTCCCTTCCAAACATTGAGGGTGTGCCAACACCTATGTCTGATTGTCTGGGACAGGTTAAATGTAGTTCAGACATGTCAACCTTTCTCATGACTAGTCCATGGGACAAGCACATTTTTAACTAGAAAAAACACAGAAACAGTTAAGAATTGACTTCAAATTGCAGTAGAATTTGTGTTCCTGCCCATAAGATTTGCTATGCAAAAGTTGTCTGTTTTCAGTAGATTTTGGCAGCTGCAATTGATTATGTGCTATTATGCACTAATTCCATTGTCTTCTTTTGTTTACTTGTAGCTATTTCGCACTTGTAGGTATTATTTGTTTCACGGGTCAAGTAAAATCACTCTAGTACCTCTTAACTCTATCTTAATTTAATGCTTTAAGAAAGTTGAATAATATTGTGTTTATTTTTTGTTGAAAGGGTGTAAAGGAAACTGCAGTCCATGTTTTTGATGAGTAAAGACTGGGTAAGTGTTTCATAAAGCAGTAGACGTAAGGAGACCTAAAATTTGTTGTCGTTTGACCGGATGTAGAGACCATATTGAGTCACAACTTCCAACAGGGAATTAGATGTGTGTACAAATAACCCCACAGACAATGCATTTCCTTGTTGAGCCATTGACTGAAAAAACGCGGCTCAGTCACGTTTAAATAATGTATTTTAAACATGGTTAAGCTGTTGTTTATTGAGACGTCTAGACCATGGCTAGGCCTTAAACACATGTTAACTTTGACTTCTTTTAAGTGATCTCTCCATTATTTTAAGGATTGTCCATATGTCAGGGCAGTGTCTCTTTAAGCTAGTAGGATCACAAAGGCATAACCCATTATGAGTTTCTGGCTGGATTTAATTAAATAAAAAGGTTAAATAATGTCTTTTTATGCTGAAAGGGTGCAAAGGAAGCTGCAGTTCATGTCTTCTAAGTGTAAACAGTGTGGCAAGTCTTTTAGCCAAGCAGGATACGTAAGGGTTCATGAAAGGATTCACACAGGGGAAAAGCCTTATGAATGTAAACATTGTGGCAAGTGTTTTAGTGAAGCAGGACACCTAAGGAGACATGAAAGAGTTCACACTGGGGAAAAGCCTTATGAATGTAAACAGTGTGGCAAGTGTTTTAGCCAAGCAGGAGACCTAAGGATTCATGAAAGAGTTCACACTGGGCAAAAGCCTTATGAATGTAAACAGTGTGGCAAGTGTTTTAGCCAAGCAGGATACCTAAGGGTTCATGAAAGGATTCACACTGGGGAAAAACCTTATGAATGTAAACAGTGTGGCAAGTGCTTTACAGACTTATCAAGCCTAAGGCGTCATAAAAGAGTTCACACCGGGGAAAAGCCTTGTGAATGTAAACAGTGTGGCAAGTGTTTTAGCCAAGCAGGAGACCTAAGGGTTCATGAAAGAGTTCACACTGGGGAAAAGCCTTTTGAATGTAAACAGTGTGGCAAGTGTTTTAGCCAAGCAGGATCCCTAAGGGTTCATGAAAGAGTACACACTGGGGAAAAGCCTTTTGAATGTAAACAGTGTGGCAAGTCTTTTAGCCAAGCAGGATACCTAAGGGTTCATGAAAGGATTCACACTGGGGAAAAGCCTTATGAATGTAAACAGTGTGGCAAGTGTTTTAGCCTAGCAGGATACCTAAGGGTTCATGAAAGGATTCACGCTAGGGAAAAGCCTTTTAAATGTAAACAGTGTAGCATGTGTTTTAGTCAAGCAGGACACCTAAGACGTCATGAAAAAGTTCACACTGGGGAAATGCCTTTTAAATGTAAACATTGTGGCAAGTGTTTTAGTCATCTAAGAGTTTTTAATAGGCATGAAGAAGTCCACATTAGAAAAATGTTGCAGAAATGTGACAGTAGCAAAGGTCCATTTAAACGTGTGCTTCGTGATAGTAAGAGAGCAGGAAGTAATATAAGGGCAGGATTGACTAACAGCACACTGTCGCAGAGAAGGACTAGAAACAGTGGTATAAAAAACCAGCAACTGGACTTTACTGAGAAACACAGCTGTTGGATTTGTCAAGAGGAGACGAGAAGTGAATCTCTTCTTCTTCAACATTATGAAAACCATATGAGGCATGTAGCTGGAGATGGCTTGTAAAAACTTCGGTCTTAAGCTTTTGTTAAGTCTTGTTTCTGTTTTTTGAGGTTTTGTCCTTTAATTGTAAGATGCTGTAAGGATGACCTCGTTTGTTACTAAATCAATCGTTCCAGGGAAGATTAATCTGTTTTGTTTAAACATTCAAGTTTTCTTTCTGTCCGGCGGGTTTGTAAGTAGATATTGATAAGTACACATTGCGTTTTCTGAAAATGGACAGAGCAGTTCTTTGTTGATCCGATTTTTTATGTAAAGAAAACCAAGGCATTTAATGCTGAAGGTCCCTTTTTCTACAGATGTTCCCGCTGTGCATTTTTATAGTTCTAGCACTAATTAAGAAATAGCGTCTTCTTCCCTCTGCCTGGCTTCTGTGCAACAAAAAGAAGCCTCTGTACCATAAGTGACCTACAAATTCTCCAGACTGTTCTATATATATTTTCCTTGAGAATTAGTTGGAAAAATTTGATACCAAATCAATACATTTCCCCTTTAATGATGATTTAACCAGTTCTCATAAGCTTTTCCCTTGATTATGTACTAATTTTGTCTGGAGAAGATTTATGTTGCTCACTCTTGTGACTTAAAGGGTTATATTAATTTAAACCCAATGGTTTTGTATTATTGTGCATTTCCCTGGTCCCTCAAATTTACAGTGTAACACCCTTAGGTCGTTCGGTGAAATAAGAGTCGTGAACGTCACGCGAAGTTTCGAGTTATTTATTTGAACCGCCGCCTCGTTAGCTCAGTTGGGAGAGCGCCGGTCTGCCGAGCGGGAGGTCGCGGGTTCAAACCCCGGCCGGAACAACACTCGGGGTCTTTAAATAACTGAGAAGAAAGTGCTGCCTTTGTAATGACATCTGATCTGCAAATGGTTAGACTTCTCGGATAAGGACGAAAAACCGTAGGTCCCGTCTGACAGCACTTTCACTGATCTGTTCATATGGGACGTAAAAGAACCCACACTACTGTTCGAAAAGAGTAGGGGACGTAGACCCCTGTGGTGTGGCCAACCTTTACGGGTTGTGGGATTGGGTAGGGACGGCACCTTGCATAGGACCTATGAGTCCCGTTCGTGGCCATTCCCTCTTGGCAGGCCTGTGTCCGGAAAAGCTAGTGAAACTAAAAAACTATTTTTTCGGTGGCTTTCGTTTAGATCCAACTATACAACCTTTACTTTATATCCTGTAAGTTTCTCTAAATTTAACTCGCTAAAACGGCAATGAGGGATCCATTTTTTTCGATTAAGTAACCCAGTCGCTTAGAAGGATGACCTCCCTATAATAATACAGAAAAAAACTCAGTTGCCCAAAATTTAGGATGGGGGAGGGAGGGGGGGACCGTCCCCTGGCCCGTACGCCTATGTGTTCATATTAAAGCGAAGTTATCCTTCTAAGTGAATTTGTTCCTTTAAAAAAAACACCGGTCAGTAGGAAATTTTCGTTTTTAGGCAAAGTCTTATTGAGGTATATTTATTCCCGACTTTTAAACGGCCTTAAAAGGTCAAAAATTTTGATCCCTGATTCCAAAATTGTTGCAAACCTTGATCCCTGATTAACTGTGCGTACTTGACAAAAACTGGATGAAATACTACATAAAGCGTCTCTCATTTTTTTTATTTTAGTTACACTAGGGCCATTTATACGAGGAAAAATAAGACTACCCGTATAAACGGCACATTAAGACGCGACTTAGCAAAGACGCGTCTTATCGAAGAACAGGTGTTAGGGGCTGTTCTTAGGTAAGACGCGTCTTAGCTAAATTTCAAGCGAAATGTCGCGTTTATAGGAGATAGTTTGAGTCTTATTTAGGACGCATCCTATGTGAGACTTGTCTTATTTTTCCTCGTTTAAACGGCCCTATTAGTTACTGACTGGAGAATTAAGTTTGGCTCCCGTCTTTATTTTCCAGTTATTATTTCTATCATAATGCGTTCCTCTTTAGAGCTCTAATAATAATAATATATCGTTTTTTGGTCTGTTCGTGTCATTTAAGCCTTCCTTTTAAAATTTGATGAATTTCATATAACAACGGCAACTTAACAGCAACGACACAAGCAAAACGAATTTTGATGTAGTATAAAACTCTAGGATAACAAGCGTTTGCTCTAGCTAGCTTTGTTTCAGTCGCCGCCTAGCTAAGTTTAGGAGTGCCTCTAGTCATACATCACTATCTGACCATCATACATGTGTAGGTTTTGATAAAGTCTAGTTGGGTTACCCTTCGGCATAATATAGTGAACAGTGCCCTGAGGTTACTCCCCTATAAAATTAAAGTGATGGTGTTGCTCGTCGAAAAATTTCGAGAACACCCCTAAAAGGTACCAGAATCTTGTTTTATGGGCCTGTCCCACATTCATTTCCACCTCTATAAGGTAACAATTCAACAACAACAAATTATATTACTGGCACTGCAAGTTTTAATAGTAATAAAGATAACTTTCGAATACTTTCTTCCCAAGCACTTTTTGAAAATATTGTTAAAAATCTTTATCCTAATTATAATAAAGCATATTATTTCCAACAAAATTCTTAACAACTCTGGCAGCAGTCTTTATAAGTTTTAGCACCGTAAAAAGGTACGACAAGCATCCCCGTCAATTTTAGAGGGGGGTACCCCCCTCCCAGGGGGAGCAGTGTACCAGCTCTCAGCGGATCCAGTTAGCTTGAATCTAAAAAAAGGGTGCCCTACAATGGTGTAAATGTGCGTAACGACGGTATCAATCCCAGAGCGAGAATTTTTTTTCCAGAATCCATATTGGGCAGTCAAAGACTTTGACCAATTCCGGTAGGTCAGTCACCTTAGTGTATATCTCGAACAAAAGGAGGCAACAGGTCAACCAGCAGAGTCAGCAATGTGCCAATAAAGCAATAATGATAAATATCTCTCAATTTAAGGAAAGTACGAGGGTTTTGTAGTCCAGCTAGTCCAGCAGATCGGATTGCATGCGGTTTGGTACCGGATTGAAATTTTTCAACGTTAAACTTCTACAGAACTGAATTTTAAAACGTTTGCAGAGCATTTCAGAATTTGCAGAATTTTGTGGGACTTGTGGTCTTTGTTGTTCTGTCGGAAAACCCGTAAACCATCCCTTAACTCCTTAAAGTACTTCTCATCCTATTCCTGCGGCTTGTGATCTGAGATCCCGCAGCTGTATTCCCCGATCACACCCTAATTTTTACTGTTGACCCCTGATCCCATATACCTCGTTACCACCTTGTTTTAGCGGGAGAGTCTTATAACTTAGGAAAAAGGGAACATCTGTAATAAGCGGGTGTCCATTCACAAAGCCGGGTTCAACTGTACACTGTACAAATGTTTGCGTTAAGGAGATATTTCATTAACCCAGGAGCCTACTACTAATCAGCTATTGTTCTCACTACGCTTTTCCTTCCTTTTGGGATGACGCAACTTCTGGAAAAGGTCATCCATAGACGTGCCTATGTTTTCGGGTGGGGGACTAGGTACACCTTCGTAGGTAACTACTTCATGTACGGGGACATTGATAGAAGCGAAGTCGAGAGTTAGATGTTGTGGATTGATCACATAAGTGCTGAAACCTCATTTAAAAAGGTAAGAAAAGCTTCTCAGTATATGATATATCATCTTAGAATGAATTCAGTGACAGGATTGATCGACAGTAAAGAAAAAAAAGTATTTTGGAAGCCCATTAATGACAGCTTCTTCCCTGGTGGGCGATTGTACTTGTAGCCTGTGCATAGACACGGGGCGCAGAGGAGTTATTTGTGACCTTGATTGCTGTCAAAATTTACAGTTGAAAGCGCCAATCGCCTTTGTTTATGCAGGTATCAATGTCTGGAAAAAGAGGCGGGCAGAGGGTACAGTTTGGCATTTGAAATCTCCCGTGAGGAGACAGAGAAATATTGTTCAAATACAGTAAGAACCCGCATATACATGTATAAAGAACGTAGTGATTTAAGAACCTGATCATGATTGTTAAAAATGATATTAACTCCATGGTAAGGCAAGTCTTGAAACAGTAATTTCTTGGACATCGTCTCTTTAGCAAAAGCGATGATTTGAGTAGACATTTTACTGACATTACTGACATTTTATTGACATAAAATCCAACTAAAAGCTAGCTCAATCAATTTTAAGGTGCAAATTTCCCTCCAAGTATAAGCCTGGCCGATTTTGAAACTCAATTTATTTTTCCCACCATATTTAAGCCCCTGCAAAAATAAACCCCTCAAAAAGGACCTTTGAAAAATATAAGCCTCAGGGCTTATTTTCAGAATTTTATGGTATATCAAAAACTCCACTCAGTGCTGAGGGTCTGAATGGAGTTAACTGACTAGTGACAAATGGCGAAAAATATAACAGACTAAACCAAGAAAAAAAATACTGACTACTGACAGGGAAAAAATTAACCGACTGCTGACATGGTCCAACATTGTACAGATATCTGTATTCAGAAATAAGTCATATTTTTTTTATTTGTCTTTGATTTCCCCTTTTTCTGTCAAAAGTATTTTGCTTGATTTGTTTTACACACACTATACTTTATTTCATGCACATCATTTTGCCATCTCCACCCGCAAATAGCAAAAGCTAGACGAGGCGGGCGGAGAGGAAAGGTTACAGCAGTCATAACAGATAATATAATAATTGTAAAGTAACTAAATAAACTATCTGGATAAATAAGAATTACTGAAAAACAAGCTAAAGTTACAAAATATATAGTCTTACAGAATGATATTACAATCAAATTTACTACTAACAGAACCTATCGATTATTAGTACATTGAGTCGAGGATGCAGAATTTGCCATTTTTTGTAGGAGAATGGGCACTTCAACATAATCGTCCTCTGCTTCCATTATCGAGAGCAAAAAGTCATGAAAATTTTTCTTAAAAGCTCCTTTGGAGAGTTGACGAAATTCGTTAGGAATTGCGTTCCAAAGTTTAGCTCCAAACCTGGAAAAAGAATCTTTATTTAGATTCAGTCTTGAAGTTTGGACATAATAATTTCGAGACGCAGAAAACCTGGTCTCATGCTTGTGCTTTGAATTAGCTCTAGTGAAGAAAACGAAAATGTTAGACAGAGCATTCATGCAGGAAACATCAAACATTATAGAAAATACTTTTTCAGCATATAACATTTGTAAGGGTAGAATTTTCGAGGAAATAAAGAAAGTCACAGCATGGGCTCTAGGTTGAGGAAAGTACATCAAACGAAGGACTCGTTTTTGAAGCACATGGAGGGTCTTTTAGTTACCGGTAGCTCTATTTCAGGACCAGAGGGGACATTTAATTTCAGATTTGGTACTTGTAAAATTTCCTGTCGTTAAATTACTTGAGTCAAATGGTTGTAAAATCCAAGTCTTGAAGGTTCAATTTCCCTCTCTTTCCCAGCATGTATAGAAGAATGCCAGTTTTGTACCTGCACCTCGTTTAAAACCTATTTCAGACCCATCAAATGGTGTGCCTTTGTTTCTCCCCCTTTTCTGGAGAAATCCAGGAAAGCGAGCACTCATTTCCTGCGCAGTGCATGGTAATGGAGCCTACAAGACGTACTGCTGCGGTACTTTCACTGCCTGCTTTTTGTCCATGCTCAAGTCATAAGTAAAGTTATAAGAGTGATCGTAAGTTTTTGTCAAAAAAAGTTAAGAGGTCGCAATCGAGTGCCGCTGCAGCTGCATTCCAGTTGACATAGAAATTATGAAGGATGCTTTGAGATTACTGAAAGGACAACATCTGACGAAATTGGGAGGTTCCCTTGGAAACTATTTTGCTTATCTGAGTGGCAAAACTCGCCTCTGTGGGTTAAGGCGAGAACCTACCTAAAGCAATGGAAGGGTACTGGCATGTGGAAGTTCCAAATTTGAAATCAGTTGTAGGCAGCAGTGAGTTCAAAACATTCCACAGCTAAGGCACGAGCCATAAATCAGTATTCACAAACGACCCAGGAAACAGACTGCAGTGACTAAAAATAAGTTTACTGAAATTTGACCCATATTCTCACTTGACCACTTATTCTCTCATTACTTCGCTGGTCTTTGAACTGGGAAAAACTGACTCAAGACAGGTTAAAGGGGCACAGCCTCATCAGTGAGGGTGCTGAGTCAGCAGATGAAGAGTGTACTAAGTGAAAAGGTCTAATTCATAAATCTTGCTCAGTCATGCAGCAACTCATCGACCTGTGCTTACATCATGTGCATCACATGTAGCAGACACTTTCGTCCTCGCATTGGTCTCCTTAGCCACCTCCGAACTCACAAAATGTAATTAACTGCCTCATGGAAGAAAACAAATTAAGTATAGAAAGATTGGTGTTTTTATCATTCCAAAACAAAGGTGAAATAAACGATCGCATAGCTTAAACAAACCAGAATTTATTGAGGTTCCATTGCACTCAAATGATAAATTGATGATGAATGAAGAAGTTTTTTACTTACTGCATAAGAGTTTAAACTGTGTGAATTAAATAACCAATATGAAAAATTAACTTGTTTTGTTAATTATCAACCGAGATTTACTGACAACCCACAAATATCGAAAATTTTAACCAACAACTGACAAAGTAATGAAATCTTTATGGACAACTGACATGTGGACCTGCCCATTCAGACCCTTAATGTTTCATCCGATATCCAGACACCTCGAAGTTGGTGTTAAAAACACTCGGCTGGGTGTTGTTTGTCAATCCACTTCTCTGTGTCTAAAATAATGTCGGATGAAACACTGCATGTTGTTTTTAATATATTACTGCAAATGTAATATGGTTTTATAATTTTTACATAGGGTATTATATGTTAATGCCATGCCATCTTGACCCCTCTCACATTTTCCTTGTTAAAGCCCTGGCCCTTTCTGAGATGTCAGTAAAGCAATTGAGATTTATAAGTAATTATTTGAGACAAATAACTTTCTCTTAATATATTCTATATGTTTGTAAATTACCTTATGATATGCTGTACGTTATTTATATAAGTATATGTAATAGCTATTATAATAATGAAATCTAATGTAAGGAGAAAGTCTTACCTGTAGGCTTTCATGGCCTTCCTTGCCTTTTGAGATTCTCTTTACTTTCAAAATGTGTTTCGTTTGTGCAATTTATTGTCTTTTCCCTTCATTTATATGTAAAAAAGGCATTTAAAAAGCAATAAACCAAAAAAAAGACTAACCTTTCCTTCCAAACATTCAGGGTGTGCCAAAACCTATGTCCGATTGTCTGGGACAGGTAGAAATGTAGTTCAGGCATTTAAACCTTTGTCATGACTTGTCCATGGGACAAGCACATTTTTAACTAGAAAAAACACAGAAACAGTTAAGAATTGACTTTGAATTGCAGTAGAATTAGTGTTCCTGTCCCTAACATTTGCTGCGCAAAATTTGCCTGTAGCTGGAGATTTTGGCAGCTGCAATTGACCATGTGCTATTATGCACTAATTCCATTGTCTTCTTTTGTTTACTTGTAGCTATTTCGCACTTGTAGGTATTATTTGTTTCACGGGTCAAGTAAAATCACTCTAGTGCCTTTTTACTCTATCTTGATTTAATGCTTTAAGAAAGTTGAATAATATTGTGTTTATTTTTTGTTGAAAGGGTGTAAAGGAAACTGCAGTCCATGTTTTTAATGAGTAAAGACTGCGGTGTTTCGTAAAGCAGTAGACGTAAGGAGACCCATAAGTTGTTGTCATTTGACCGGGTGTAGAGACTATATTGAGTCACAACTTCCAACAGGGAATTAGATGTGCATACAAATAACACCACAGACAATACATTTCCTTGTGAGACATATTGTTTAACCATTGACAAAAAAAAAAACACGGCTCAGTCACGTTTTAAATAATGTATTTCAAACATGGTTAAACTGTTGTTTATTGAGACACCTAGACCATGGCTAGGCCTTAAACATATGTTAACTTTGACTTTGTTTAAGTAATCTCCCCATTATTGTAAGGATTGTCGATATGTCAGGGCAGTGTCTCTTTAAACTAGCTGGATCAGAAAGGCATAACCCATTATGAGTTTCTGGCTGGATTTAATTGAATAAAAAGGTAAAATAAATTATGTCTTTTTTATGTTCAAAGGGTGCAAAGGAAGCTGCAGTTCATGTCTTTTAAGTGTAAACATTGTGCCAAGTGTTTTAGCCGAGCGGGACACCTAAGGATTCATGAGAGAGTTCACACTGGGGAAAAGCCTTATGAATGTAAACAGTGTGGCAAGTGTTTTAGCCAAGCAGGAGTCCTAAGGAGACATGAAAGAGTTCACACTGGGGAAAAACCTTATGAATGTAAACAGTGTGGCCAGTGTTTTAGCCAAGCAGGAGTCCTAGGGATTCACAAAAGAGTTCACACTGGGGAAAAGCCTTATGAATGTAAACAATGTGGCAAGTGTTTTAGCATCATAGGAAACCTAAGGATTCATGAAAGAGTTCACACTGGGGAAAAGCCTTTTGAATGTAAACAGTGTGGCAAGTGGTATGGCCAAGCAAAAGACTTAAAAATTCACGAAAGAGTTCACACTGGGGAAAAGCCTTTTGAATGTAAACAGTGTGGCAAGTGTTTTAGCCGAGCAGCACACCTAAAGAGACATGAAGGAGTTCACACTGGGGAAAAGCCTTATGAATGTAAACAGTGTGGCAAGCGTTTTAGCCGAGCAGGAGTTCTAAGGATTCATGAAAGAGTTCACACTGGGGAAAAGCCTGTTGAATGTAAACAGTGTGGCAAGCGTTTTAGCCAAGCAGGATACCTAAGGATTCATGAAAGAGTTCACACTGGGGAAAAGCCTTTTGAATGTAAACAGTGTGGCAAGTGTTTTAGCCGAGCAGCATACCTAAGGATTCATGAAAGAATTCACACTGGGGAAAAGCCCTATGAGTGTAAACAGTGTGGCAAGTGTTTCACTCATCTAAGAGTTTTTAAGAGGCATGAAGAAGTTCACATTAGAAAAATGTTGCATAAATGTGACAGTAGCAAAGGTCCATGTAAACGTGTGCTTCGTAATCGTAAGAGAGCAGGAAGTAATATAAGGGCAGGATTGACCACCAGCACACTGTCACAGAGAGAGACTAGAAACAGTAGCATAAAAGACCAGCAACTGGACGTTACTGAGAAACACAGCTGTTGGATTTGTCAAGAGGAGATGAGAAGTGAATCTCTTCTTCTTCAACATTATGAAAACCATATGAGGCATGTAGCTGAAGATGGCTTGTAAAGACTTCGGTCTTAAGCTTTTGTTAAGTCTTGTTTCTGTTTTTTTTAGGTTTTGTCTTTTAACTGTAAGATGCAGTAAGGATGACTTCATTTGTTGCTAGATCAATCGTTCCAGGGAAGATTAATCTGTTTTGTTTAAAAATTCAACTTTTTTTCTGTCAGGAGGGTTTGTAAATAGATATTAATAAGTAGACATTGCGTTTTCTGAAAATGGACAGAGCAGTTCTTTGTTGATCGTTTTCTTTTATATAAAGAAAATGAAGGAATTTAATGCTGAAGGTCCCTTTTCTACAGATTTTCCCGCTGTGCATTTTTATAGTTCTAGTAATAATTAAGAAATAGCGTCTCTTCCCTCTGCCTAGCCTCTGTGCAACAAAAAGAAGCCTCTGCGCCATAACTGACCTACAGATTCTCCAGACTGTTCTATATACATTTTCTTAGAGAATAAGTTGGAAGAATTTAACAGTTGACACCTCCTACGCAAATTATATACTAATTCTTTATCTTTGGGAATGATCGCACCTAGCATATGATTATCAATAGCTCTTTTGAAAGCGGATTTATCTTGCTGTTCTAAAAGATTAAAGATGCTGACTGTTTGAGAGGTAAAATGACGCTATGTCACCTGTTTAAAAAATGCTGTATAACATTTAAATCAGAATCAGAAGTGCCATACACAGCGAGACCATATGTGAGAATGGAAAGAACTAGGGTTTTAAACAAGTGATCTATTTCCTTCTAGCTAAAGAGTTCCTTTCGTAGAGTTCTGAGAATGTGAAGACACTTGTTAGCTTTTGTAAGCTTGAGTCTGACGTGCTCGCTAAATTTACAATTAGGCTGAAAAGTCAGTCCGAGCAATACAAGGCTACCACATTGAGGAATGTTATTGATGGGAGCGTACTGAAGGCGTGTACCGCTTCTTTCCTTCTTTCTAAATATCAGTTCTTTACACTTGCTCGGATTACACAGCATCATTTAACGCCTATGTGTTCATATTAAAGCGAAGTTATCCTTCTACGTGAATTTGTTCCTTTAATAAAAATACCGGTCAGTAAGAAATTTTCGTTTCTAGACAAGGTCTTATTGAGGTATATTTATTCCCGACTTTTAAAGGGCCTCAAAAGACCAAAATATGGGATCAAAAATTTTGATCCTGATCCCAAAATTGTTGCAAATCTTGATCCCTGATTAACTGCGTGAAGTTGACAAAAACTCGATGAAATACTACATAAAGCCATAGGCGTACGGGCCAGGGGGGCGAGGGGGGCTGCAGCCCCCCCAAATTTTGGGCAACTCAGATTTTTTGGGCAGCAAGAGAAAATTTGGAGAAAGCTATTTTTTAAAGACGTTTCCGTGTTTTTTTATTAGTTTAAAGAGACAAATATTTTCGATTTTAATCTGAAAAAAATCCTGAAGTCAGCGAAATAATCCAGTTACATTCTCTCGAGACACTCACAGTGGTTGCTTAGCACGTGATGAGTTTCTGGTTATAGGGAAGGGTATCACTTGTTGATTTACATATTTATAGTTTTTTATTGTTGAGCACTGTACTGCACTGCACTGCACTGCACTGACTGGAATGGGCTCTTAGCAGTCGTGAATTGATTAGAATAAGCTTCCGCATATCTTCCTAGAATCATCTCCGCCCGTAGAATAGTGTATGGCAGAGAGCATCAGCAACAGTGGGTGTGAAAAATGAAGAAGTGGCTGACTAGTACTCAGCTCGAATTACGAGAAGAATATTAAATTTTTTTAATTATCTATTAAGCAATAATTTATTAAAGTAGACCGAAATGTTTACAAAACCGCTGACAAGAGCGCCTCGATACATACTGATGAAATGGAATCCTTCTCTCTAGCGATCGGCCGGAGCTATCTCCATGACATTTTACACACGTTTTTAAAAAGACTGAAGCTACTATGACATGTTAAAAGAGATTCGTTTTCTACAGATAACGGCCAAACATCAAGATTTTTGTAGCATATTTCTAAAACCTCATCCCAAAATATCCCGATAACTCTTATAGATTCCGTTTTAACTTCACGAACATCGACCCGACTATTGGAGAAAAAGGTTGCCGTGAAGATTTTGCCGTGAATATTGCTGCAAGTAAAATAGACAATGGCATCATTTCACTGCTATGACAACTCCGATGTCATTAAAACCCTATGATAAATTTTCATCTATATCTAATAAAACTATGGTAGCAATTTTTCCAAATGTTTGTCTATGGCGACGTAGTTATGCTCAAAATTCGGAGGTATTGACTCTGAAAAACTGCCACCTTCATATGCCAGTACGGCCTACGTTACTGTTTCGTAAAACTTTGGGTAACTTGCGAGAATTTTTTGGGCAAATAGTTTACCGCCCCCCTTGGAAAAAAATTGCCCGTACGCCTATGCATAAAGCGTCTCTCATTTCGATTTATTTTATTTTAGTTACGCTAGGGCCATTTATACGAGGAAAAATAAGACTATCCCGTATAAACGGCACATTAAGACGCGACTTAGCAAAGACGCGTCTTATCGAAGAACAGGTGTTAGGGGCTGTTCTTAGATAAGACGCGTCTTAGCTAAATTTCAAGCGAAATGTACCGTTTATAGGAGATAGTTTGAGTCTTATTTAGGACGCGTCCTATGTTAGACTTGTCTTATTTTTCCTCGTTTAAACGGCCCTATTAGTTACTGACTGGAGAATTAAGTTTGTCTCCCGTCTTTATTTTCGAGTTATTATTTCTATCATAATGCGTTCCACTTTAGAGCTCTAATAATAATGTATCGTTTTTTGGTCTGTTCGTGTCATTTAAGCCTTCCTTTTAAAATTTGATGAATTTCATATAACAACGGCAACTTAACAGCAACGACACAAGCAAAACGAATTTTGATGTAGTATATAACTCTAGGATAAAAAGCGTTTGCTCTAGCTAGCTTTGTTTCAGTCGCCGCCTAGCTAAGTTTAGGAGTGCCTCTAGTCATACATCACTATCTGACTATCATACATGTGTAGGTTTTGATAAAATCTAGTTGGGTTACCCTTCGGCATAATATAGTGAACAGTGCCCTGAGGATACTCCCCTATAAAATTAAAGTGACGGTGTTGCTCGTCGAAAAATTTCGAGAACACCCCTAAAAGGTACCAGAATCTTGTTTTATGGGCCTGTCCCAAATTCATTTCCACCTCTATAAGGTAACAATTCAATAACAACAAATTATATTACTGGCACTGCAAGTTTTAATAGTAATAAAGATAACTTTCGAACACTTTCTTCCCAAGCACTTTTTGAAAATATTGTTAAAAATCTTTATCCTACTTATAATAAAGCATATTATTTCTAACAGAATTCTTAACAACTCTGGCAGCAGTCATTATAAGTTTTAGCACCGTAAGCGGTAGTCTGCTACACAGCCGTTTTTCGTGTCGTCACGCAACGCTCCTCCCCACTTAGTGGGGAGGAGCGTTGCGTGACAACACTTAAAACGGCTGTGTAGCAGACTAACTAAGCGGTACCAATCCACCAATTTAAACCCCTAAAAGGTACGACAAGCATCCCCGTCAATTTTATAGGGGAGTACTCCCCTCCCGGGGGGGAGCAGTGTACCAGCTCTCAGCGGATCCAGTTAGCTTGAATCTAAAAAAGGGTGCTCTACAACGGTGTAAATGTGCGTAACGACGGTATCAATCCCAGAGCGAGAATTTTTTCCAGAATCCATATTGGGCAGTCAAAGACTTTGACCAATTCCGGTAGGTCAGTCACCTTAGTGTATATCTCCAACAAAAGGAGGCAACAGGTCAACCAGCAGAGTCAGCAATGTGCCAATAAAGCAATGATGATAAATATCTCTCAATTTAAGGAAAGTACGAGGGTTTTGTAGTCCAGCTAGTCCAGCAGATCGGATTGCATGCGGTTTGGTACCGGATTGAAATTTTTCAACGTTAAACTTCTACAGAACTGAATTTTAAAACGTTTGCAGAGCATTTCAGAATTTGAGGAATTTTGTGGGACTTGTGGTCTTTGTTGTTCTGTCGGAAAATCCGTAAACCATCCCTTAACTCCTTAAAATACTTCTCATCCTATTCCTGCTGCTTGTGATCTGAGATCCCGCAGCTGTATTCCCCGATCACACCCTAATTTTTACTGTTGACCCCTGAACCCTGATCCCATATACCTCGTTACCACCTTGTTTTAGCGGGAGAGTCTTATAACTTAGGAAAAAGGGAACATCTGTAATAAGCGGGTGTCCATTCACAAAGCCGGGTTCAACTGTACACTGTACAAATGTTTGCGTTAAGGAGATATTTCATTAACCCAGGAGCCTACTACTAATCAGCTATTGTTCTCACTACGCTTTTCCTTCCTTTTGGGATGACGCAACTTCTGGAAAAGGTCATCCATAGACGTGCCTATGTTTTCGGGTGGGGGACTAGGTACACCTTCGTAGGTAACTACTTCATGTACGGGGACATTGATAGAAGCGAAGTCGAGAGTTAGACGTTGTGGATTGATCACATAAGTGCTGAAACCTCATTTAAAAAGGTAAGAAAAGCTTCTCAGTATATGATATATCATCTTAGAATGAATTCAGTGACAGGACTGATCGACAGTAAAGAAAAAACAGTATTTTGGAAGCCCATTAATAACAGCTTCTTCCCTGGCGAGCGATTGTACTTGTAGCCTGTGCATAGACACGGGGCGCAGAGGAGTTATTTGTGACCTTGATTGCTGTTAAAATTTACAGTTGAAAGCGCCAATCGCCTTTGTTTATGCAGGTATCAATGTTTGGAAAAAGAGGCGGGCAGAGGGTACAGTTTGGCATTTGAAATCTCCCGTGAGGAGACAGAGAAATATTGTTCAAATACAGTAAGAACCCGCATATACATGTATAAAGAACCTAGTGATTTAAGAACCTGATCATGATTGTTAAAAATGATATTAACTCCATGGTAAGGCAATTCTTGAAACAGTAATTTCTTGGACATCGTCTCTTTAGCAAAAGCGATGATTTGAGTAGACATTTTACTGACATTACTGACATTTTATTGACATAAAATCCAACTAAAAGCTAGCTCAATCAATTTTAAGGTGCAAATTTCCCTCCAAGTATAAGCCTGGCCGATTTTGAAACTCAATTTATTTTTCCCACCATATTTAAGGCCCTGCAAAAATAAACCCCTCAAAAAGGACCTTTGAAAAATATAAGCCTCAGGGCTTATTTCCAGAATTTTATGGTATATCAAAAACTCCACTCAGTGCTGAGGATCTGAATGGGGTTAACTGACTAGTGACAAATGGCGAAAAATAAAACAGACTAAACCAAGAAAAAAAATACTGACTACTGACAGGGAAAAAATTAACCGACTGCTGACATGGTCCAACATTGTACAGATATCTGTATTCAGAAATAAGTCATATTTTTTTTATTTGTCTTTGATTTCCCCTTTTTCTGTCAAAAGTATTTTGCTTGATTTGTTTTACACACACTATACTTTATTTCATGCACATCATTTTGCCATCTCCACCCGCAAATAGCAAAAGCTAGACGAGGCTAGCGGAGAGGAAAGGTTACAGTAGTCATAACAGATAATATAATAATTGTAAAGTAACTAAACAAACTATTTGGATAAATAAGAATTACTGAGAAACAAGCTAAAGTTACAAAATATATAGTCTTACTGAATGATATTACAATCAAATTTACTACTAACAGAAACTATCGATTATTAGTACATTGAATCGAGGATGCAGAATTTGCCATTTTTTGTAGGAGAATGGGCACTTCAACATAATCGTCCTCTGCTTCCATTATCGAGAGCAAAAAGTCATGAAAATTTTTCTTAAAAGCTCCTTTGGAGAGTTGACGAAATTCGTTAGGAATTGTGTTCCAAAGTTTAGCTCCAAACCTGGAAAAAGAATCTTGATTTAGATTCAGTCTTGAAGTTTGGACATAATAATTTCGAGACGAAGAAAACCTGGTCTCATGCTTGTGCTTTGAATTAGCTCTAGTGAAGAAAACGCAAATGTTAGACAGAGCATTCATGCAGGAAACATCAAACATTATAGAAAATACTTTTTCAGCATATAACATTTGTAAGGGTAGAATTTTCGAGGAAATAAAGAAAGTCACAGCATGGGCTCTAGGTTGAGGAAAGTACATCAAACGAAGGACTCGTTTTTGAAGCACATGGAGGGTCTTTTAGTTACCGGTAGCTCTATTTCAGGACCAGAGGCGACATTTAATTCCAGATTTGATACTTGTAAAATTTCCTGTCGTTAAATTACTTGAGTCAACTGGTTGTAAAATCCAAGTCTTGAAGGTTCAATTTCCCTCTCTTTCCCAGCATGTATAGAAGAATGCCAGTTTTGTACCTGCACCTCGTTTAAAACCTATTTCAGACCCATCAAATGGTGTGCCTTTGTTTCTCCCCCTTTTCTGGAGAAATCCAGGAAAGCGAGCACTCATTTCCTGCGCAGTGCATGGTAATGGAGCCTACAAGACGTACTGCTGCGGTACTTTCACTGCCTGCTTTTTGTCCATGCTCAAGTCATAAGTAAAGTTTTAAGAGTGATCGTAAGTTTTTGTCAAAAAAAGTTAAGAGGTCGCAATCGAGTGCCACTGCAGCTACATTCCAGTTGACATAGAAAATTATGAAGGATGCTTTGAGATTACTGAAAGGACAACATCTGACGAAATTGGGAGGTTCCCTTGGAAACTATTTTGCTTATCTGAGTGGCAAAACTCGCCTCTGCGGGTTAAGGCGAGAACCTACCTAAAGCAATGGAAGGGTACTGGCATGTGGAAGTTCCAAATTTGAAATCAGTTGTAGGCAGCAGTGAGTTCAAAACATTCCACAGCTAAGGCACGAGCCATAAATCAGTATTCGCAAACGACCCGGGAAGCAAACTTCAGTCACTAAAAATAATTTTACTGAAATTTGACCCATATTCTCACTTGACCACTTATTCTCTCATGATTACTTCGCTGGTCTTTGAACTGGGAAAAACTGACTCAAGACAGATTAAAGGGGTGCAGCCTCATCAGAGAGGGTGCTTAGTCAGCAGAATAAGAGTGTATGAAGTGAAAAGGTCTAATTCATAAATCTTGCTCAGTCATGCAGCAACTCGAGATATATAGATAGATAAATAGATAGTTTATTTGTAAAAAGCTTGCATGGAGCTACTAAGCTGAATTGTGTATTTACAATATAATATATATTATTAAAAACTGCATCATTGGATAATGCAATTCTAGCATTTTGATTGGCTTAGCCGTTATGGTATATGAGCTATTATACCATGTTCTCCATATATGGTCGGTGTACGCGTCAGTTTAAAATTCGAAGCTAGCTGAGATTTTGTTTCGCGAAGGATAGAACGGCGCCCGAAGCAAATTGTTTTAATTCATTTCTTAGAATACTAGAAATGCAATTTCATCGAAAGAAAAAAGACAGAAACAAACAAAAAAGCCACAAGAGCTTGTTTGAAAGTTTGTCGAAAAACACATGAAAACACATGGAACTAAAGTACCTTGACCAGCTACGAAAGAAGACAGGTGCTGTTTCTTCATGATCGCGAAGCCATTCGCCGATCGAGTCACTCGCCGATAGATAACTACGGCTTGTTTATCCGACATCAAGAATATAAATCACAAGTAACCAGCTACAAATACAGGCTATGCAGCCATTCTCTAGAGCAATTGAGGCGGCAGTATAGCTTCTTTTCTCGTTCAGCAAAACCAGCTTATGGCTTCAAACAACTTCATAACAAGCGACCGAGGTAATAGTTTTTCTCCGTTGTTCTTACTTTTATAACTGCACTGAAAATCCAAATTCACAGTAATTTTGACGGCTGTCGCTTAAAAATTCTTCTCCTTCACATTAGCTGCCAGGTTTTCTTAGCTGTTCATCTAATGTTCATCGCTACAACGTTTTGATTTTTCATTCATGCAGTCCAGGCGAGTCCGTTCGCGCGTTGACAGTTTTGATAGATGTGTGACATGTGAATAGCGGAAGTCAATTGTCTTTTTCGGTTTGTTCTAGTCGGGGAGATTCAACGAGATTTTGTGGGCATTTTTAATAAAACAATTATTCCTCTCGCGGTTGTTGGATATGAGATGATTATAGCCAACTCGGCACAACGCGCCTTGTTGGCTATCTATCATTTCATATCCAACGCTCCCTCGTGGAATAATTGTTAAATATAATATAACAGAATCTTACAATAGTGAGTATAATAAAATGATAATGATGAAGTTCTAAATAAATAATAACATCCTAAAAATATAAAAAAACTTAAAACTGTTAAGATATATACAACGTCATCGATCTCATTTACAAAACTCACCGAGTGCTAAAATTCGTTATCAATACATGATCTTACTAAAAAACTATTTTTGAAACGCTCGATCTTACATCATGTGCCTCTGGTTACATCATGTGCAACACATGTAGCGGACACTTTCGTCCTTGCATTGGTCTCCTTAGCCACCTCCGAACTCACAAAATGTAAATGACGGCATCATGGAAGAAAACAAATTAAGTATAGAAAGATTGGTGTTTTTATCTTTCTAAAAGAAAGGTGAAATAAGCTATCGTATAGCTTAAACAAACCAGAATTTATTGAGGTTCCATTGCAATCAAATGATGAATTGACGATGAATGAAGAAGTTTTTTTTCCTTACTGCATAAGAGTTTAAACTGTGTGAATTAAATGACCAATATGAAAAATTATCTTGTTTTGTTAATCATCAACCGAGATTTACCGAAAACCGACAAATATCGAAAATTTTAACCGACAACTGACAAAGTAATGAAATCTTTACCGACAACCGACATGTGGACCTGCCCATTCAGACCCTTAGTGTTTCATCCGATATCCAGACACCTCGAAGTTGGTGTTAAAAAACACTTGACTGCGTGTCATTTTTCAACCCACTTCTCTGTGTCTAAATATCAGATGAAACACTGCATGTTGTTTTTAATAAATTACTGCAAGTTTAATATGGTTTTATAATTTTTACATAGGTTATTATATGTTAATCCCATGCCATCTTGACCCCTCTCACCTTTTCCTTGTTAAAGCCCTGGCCCTTTCTGGGATGTCAGTAAAGCGATTCTAATTTATGATTAGAGACAATCAACTTTTTCTTAATATATTTTATACACTTGTAAATTACCTTATTATATGCTGTACCTTATTTATATACCTGGTAAGTATATGTAATAGCTATATAATAATAATGAAATCTAATGTGAAGAGGAGTTCTCACCTTTAGGCCGTCACCTTCCTTGCCTTTTGAGATTCTTTTCAGTTTCAGAATGTGTATCTTTTTTGCAATTTATTGTTTTTCCCTTTTATTTATATGTAAAAAAGGTATTTTAAAAAAAGGAATAAACCAATAAAAAGACTAACCTTTCCTTCCAAACATTCAGGGTGTGTCTGACTCTCTGGGACAGGTAGAAATGTAGTTCAGACATGTAAACCTTTGTCATGACTTGTCCATGGGACAAGCACATTTTTAACTAGAAAAAACACAGAAACAGTTAAGAATTGACTTCAAATTGCAGTAGAATTAGTGTTCCTACCCCTAACATTTGCTATGCCAAATTTGCCTGTTTTCAGGAGATTTTGGCAGCTGCAATTGACTATGTGCTATTATGCCTAATTCCATTGTCTTCTTTTGTTTACTTGTAGCTATTTGGCACTTGTAGTTATTATTTGTTTCGTGGGTCAAGTAAAATCACTCTAGTACCTCCTTACTCTATCTTAAATGAATGCTTTAAGAAAGTTGAATAATATTGTGTTTATTTTTTGTTGAAAGGGTGTAAAGGAACCTACAGTCCATGTTTTTAACGAGTAAACACTGTGGAAAGTGTTTTGTAAAGCAGTAGACATAAGGAGACCTATAATTTGTTGTCATTTGACTGGGTGTAGAGACCATATTGAGTCACAACTTCCAACAGGGAATTAGTCCCACAGACAATGCATTTCAATGTGAGACATGTTGTTTAGCCATTGACTGAAAAAAAAAAACGGCTCAGTCACGTTTAAATAATGTCTTTTAAACATGGTTAAACTGTTGTTTATTGAGACGTCTAGACCATGGCTAGGCCTTAAACACATGTTAACTTTGACTTCGTTTAAGTAATCTCCCCATTATTTTAAGGATTGTCCATATGTCAGGGCAGTGTCTCTTTAAACTAGCTGGATCAGAAAGGCATAATCCCTTATGAGTTTGTGGCTGGATTTAGTTGAATAAAAAGGTTAAATAATGTCTTTTTTATGTTGAAAGGGTGCAAAGGAAGCTGCAGTTCATGTCTTTTAAGTGTAAACATTGTGCCAAGTGTTTTAGCCGAGCAGGACACCTAAGGCATCATGAGAGAGTTCACACTGGGGAAAAGCCTTATGAATGTAAACAGTGTGGCAAGTGTTTTAGCCGAGCTGCACACCTAAGGAGACATGAAAGAGTTCACACTGGGGAAAAGCCTTATGAATGTAAACAGTGTGGCAAGTGTTTTAGTCAAGCAGGACACCTAAGGAGTCATGATAGAGTTCACACTGGGGAAAAGCCTTATGAATGTAAACAGTGTGGCAAGTGTTTTAGTCAAGCAGGACACCTAAGGAGTCATGATAGAGTTCACACTGGGGAAAAGCCATATGAATGTAAACAATGTGGCCAGTGTTTTACCCTCATAGGAGCCCTAAGGGTTCATGAAAGAGTTCACACTGGGGAAAAGCCTTATGAATGTAAACAATGTGGCAAGTGTTTTACCCTCATAGGAAACCTAAGGATTCATGAAAGAGTTCACACTGGGGAAAAGCCTTTTGAATGTAAACAGTGTGGCAAGTGTTTTAGCCGAGCAGGATACCTAAGGATTCATGAAAGAATTCACACTGGGGAAAAGCCCTATGAATGTAGACAGTGTGGCAAGTGTTTTAACCACGTATTAAGCCTAACGAGACATAAAAGAGTTCACAGTGGGGAAAAGCCATATGAATGTAAACAGTGTGGAAGATGTTTTAGCCGAACAGAAATTTTAAAAAGTCATGAAAGGGTTCACACTGGGGAAACGCCTTTTAAATGTAAACATTGTGGCAAGTGTTTCACTCATCTAAGAGTTTTTAACAGGCATGAAGAAGTCCACATTAGAAAAATGTTGCATAAATGTGACAGTAGCAAAGGTCGATTTAAACGTGTGCTTCGTAATCATAAGAGAGCAGGAAGTAATATAAGGGCAGGATTGACCAACAGCACACTGTCACAGAGAAGGACTAGAAACAGTAGTATAAAAGACCAACAACTGGACGTTACTGAGAAACACAGCTGTTGGATTTGTCAAGAGGAGATGAGTAGTGAAGCTCTTCTTCTTCAACATTATGAAAACCATATGACACATGTAGCTGAAGATGGTTCGGAAAGTTGACGAACGCTTCGGTCTTTGGGAATTGTTAATTAGTTTCGTTACCATTTTTAAGGGTTTGCTTTTTCAACTGTGAATATTATCTCTGATGTCGTTTTGTTACCTTTGATTTATCGGCGTGTAGCTGAAGATGGCTTGTAAGGACTTCGGTCTTAAGCTTTTGTTAAGTCTTGTTTCTGTTTTTTTTAGGTTTTGTCTTTTAACTGTAAGATGCAGTAAGGATGACTTCGTTTGTTGTTAGATGAATCGTTCCAGGGAAGATTAATCTGTTTTGTTTAAAAATTCAACTTTTTTTTCTGTCGGGCGAGTTTGTAAATAGATATTGATAAGTAGGCATTGCGTTTTCTGAAAATGGACAGAGCAGTTCTTTGTTGATCGTTTTCTTTTATATAAAGAAAATCAAGGAATTTAATGCTGAAGGTCCCTTTTCTACAGATGTTCCCGCTGTGCATTGTAATAGTTCTAGCGGTAATTAGCTTCTTCTTCCTTCTGCCTGGCCTCTGTGCAACAAAAAGAAGCCTCTGCACCATAAGTGACCTACAAATTCTCCAGACTGTTCTATATACATTTTCTTCGATAATTAGTTGAAAGAATTTGATAAAAGATCAATGCATTTCCCCTTTAATGATAATTTAACCAGTTCTCATATTAAAGCCTTTCCCCTGATTATGTACTAATTTTGTCTGGAGAAGATTTATGTTTCTCACTCTTGTGACTGAAAGGGTTACATTAATTTAAACCCAATGGTTTATTTGTATTATTGTGCATTTCCCTCGTCCCTCAAATTTACAGTGTAACATCCTCAGATCGTTCAGTGGAATAAGAATCATGGACGTCACGCGAAGTAGGCTCGATTACCAGCCACTGTTCGGGAAAATGAGCCCGCACTCATCCCCCCGAAAGAGCGGCTGGACGCGTGCGATTTCCTTTGTTGGTTTAAGCCAATCATGTTACCGCCTGCAGATTTTCGTCTGGCAAAGATTGTCACAGAAATTATCACATGAAAGCAAAAAGTTCTTCTTTGATCCATCACATGGCGTAGCGATTTCGACGACGCGGAGACAATAGGCGAAATTCTAGAGTCCGAAGGAACACAATGTTTTGTTCGGTTGTTTGTTGTTCGGTTGTTTGATGATTCTTGTTGGAGAGATTTTGTATCTTCAAGGATCTTTTCAAGGCGCTTTAGGTCTCGATAACTGCGTTCGTTACAGAATTGTAACCGCCCACGTTTATATTTGACAGATTAACATTCAATACGCTGGAAATTCTGTTTGGTAAATCACAATCTTTTCCATTTAGTTTTTTCGGAGCATCGTCGCTTTGACCTTTTTTTGACCTTTACATCCTTCAATCAATTTTTCAATCAACCCAGTCGCTTAGAAGGATGACCTCCCTTTAATAATAGAGAAAAAACTGAGTTGCGCAAAATTTGGGGTGGGGGTGGGGGTTCCGTCTCCCGGCCCGTACGCCTATGTGCTTATATTAAAGCGAAGTGATCCATTTAAGTGAATTTGTTCATTTAAAAAAACACCGGTCAGTAAGAAATTTTCGTTTTTAGACAGGGTCTTATTGAGGTATATTTATTCCCGACTATTAAACGGCCTCAAAAGGCCAAAATATGGGATCAAAAATTTTGATCCTGATCCCAAAATTGTTGCAAACCTTGATCCCTGACTAACTGCGTATACTTGACAAAAATAAATAAAGTGTCTCTCATTTCGATTTATTTTATTTTAGTCACACTAGGGCCATTTATACGAGAAAACATAGGGCAATCCTGCACCTATTTGAAAGATTGTTTTTGATTAGCTGGGAAAACAGTAGGGATTGTCACATAACAATGCCCCTATCCTTGAAAACAATGGAAGTGCAGATTAGAGGGGACCACTGAAATAAGAGGTTTAGAACGGTGCAGGTCTACTGGGAAAAGCTCCTGCTATCCCGCATAAACGACACATTAAGACGCGACTTAGCAAAGACGCGTCTTATCGAAGAACAGGTGTTAGCGGCTGTTCTTAGATAAGACGCGTCTTAGCTAAATTTCAAGCGAAATGAGTCTTATTTAGGACGCGTCCTATGTAAGACTTGTCTTATTTTTCCTTGTTTAAACTGCCCTATTAGTTACTGACAGGAGAATCAAGTTTGGCTCCCGTCTCTATTTTCGAGTTATTATTTCTATCATAATGCGTTCCACTTTAGAGCTCTTATAATAATATATCCTTTTGTGCTATGTTCGTGTCATTTAAGCCTTACTTTTAAAATTTGATCAATTTCATGTAACGACGGCAACTTAACAGCAACGACACAAGCAAAACGAATTTTGATGCAATATATAACTCTAGGATAAAAAGCGTTTGCTCTAGCTAGCTTTGTTTCAGTCGCCGCCTAGCTAAGTTTAGGAGTGCCTCTAGTCATACATTACTATCTGACTATCATACATGTGTAGGTTTTGATAAAATCTAGTTGGGTTACCCCTCGGCATAATATAGTGAGCAGTGCCCGGGGGGTACTCCCCTATAAAATTAAAGGGACGGTGTTGCTCGTCGAAAAATTTCGAGAGCACCCCTAAAAGGTACCAGAATCTTGTTTTATGGGCCTGTTCCAAATTTATTTCCACCTCTATAAGGTAACAATTCAACAACAACAAATTATATTACTGGCACTGCAAATTTTAATAGTAATAAAGATAACTTTCGAACACTTTCTTCTCAAGCACTTTTTGAAAATATTGTTAAAAATCTTTATCCCAATTATAATAAAGCATATTATTTCTAACAGAATTCTTAACAACTCCGGCAGCAGTCATTTTAAGTTTTAGCGCCCTAAGTGGTAATCTGCTACACAGCCGTTTTTCCTGTCGTCACGCAACGCGTGACAACACTAAAAACGGCTGTGTAGCAGCCTACCTAAGCGGTACCAATCCACCAATTTAAACCCCTAAAAGGTACGACAAGCATCGTCATCAATTTTATAGGGGAGTACCCTCCCTCCCAGGGGGAGCAGTGTACCAGCTCTCAGCGGATCCAGTTAGCTTGAATCTAAAAAAGGGTGCCCTACAACGGTGTAAATGTGCGTAACGAGCCCGGGGGGGGGGTACTCGCAGAAAAATTGGGTAGGGGTGTGCGGCCCGCTTCCCAAAACCCTTACTTTATTTATGACCAAAATCTGCGATTTTCCCTACCCTATTTATGACCTAACCAAAAATTTGAGACCCTATTTATGACCTGACCCTTAAATCAATACCCTGTTTCAGACCTGCCTTATAATTATTTCCCTAGTTCAGACCAATGTTAAAGGCAATGTTTATCTGCTTTTATTAGGTTAGGGGGACATGATAAGGAAGTAGCTTCTTCTAAAAAAGTGCATTCAAGACTACAGTGCAAAAATCGTTACCCTATTTATGACCAAAATGGCGGCAAAATAGCCAAAATCGATACCCAATTTATGACCAAAACGGCTGAAAAACCCTACCCTTTGGGGCCGCACATACCTATATAGCCCATATTAGGGAGTACCCCCCCCCGGGGTAACGAGGGTATCAATTTTTTTTTTACCAGAATCCATATTGGGCAGTCAAAGACCAATTCCGGTAGCTCAGTCACCTTAGTGTATATCTCCAACAAAATGAGTCAACAGGTCAATCAGCAGAGTCAGTAATGTGCCAATAAAGCAATAAAGATGAATATCTCTCAATTTAAGGAAAGTACCTGGGTTTTGTAGTCCAGCTAGTCCAGCAGATCGGATTGCATGCGGTTTGGTACCCGATTGAAATGTTTCAACGTTAAAATTCTACAGAACTGAATTTTAAAACGTTTGCAGAGCATTTCAGAATTTGCAGAATTTTGTGGTCTTTGTTGTTCTGTCGGGAAACCGGTAAACCATCCCTCCTTAAAATACTTCTAATCCTATTCCTACGGCTTGTGATCCCAGATCCTGCCGCTGTATTCCCTGATCACACCCTAATTTTTACTGTTGACCCCTGATCCCATATACCTCGTTACCACCTTGTTTTAGCGGGAGAATCTTGTAACTTAGGAAAAAGGAAACATCTGTAAGAACGAGGTGGCTGTAATAAGCAGGTGTCCATTCAGAAAGCCGGGTTCAACTGTACACTGTACAAATGTTTGCGTTAAGGAGATATTTCACTAACCCAGGGGCCTACTGTTCTCACTACGCTTTCCCTTCCTTTTGGGATGACGCAACTTCTGGAAAAGGTCATGCACGTTAGACGTTCCGTTAGACGCACCTGTGTTTACGGTTGGGGGACTAAGTACTCCTTCCTAGGTAACTACTTCATGTACGGGGACATTGATACAAGCGAAATCGGAAATCGCAGCGAACAGAGTTAGAAGACTGTTAGATGTTGTGGATTGATCACATAAGTGCTGAAACCTCATTTATAAAGGTAAGAAAAGCTTCTCAGTATATGATATATCATCTTAGAATGAATTTAGTGACAGGATTGATCGACAGTAAAGAAAAAACAGTATTTTGGAAGCCCATTAATGACAGCTTCTTCCCTGGCGGGCGATTGTACTTGTAACCTGTGCATAGACACGGGGCGCAGAGGAGTTATTTGTGACCTTGATTGCTGTTAAAATTTACAGTTGAAAGCGCCAATCGCCTTTGTTTATGCAGGCATCAATGTTTGGAAAGAGAGGGGAGCAGAGGGTACAGTATGGCATTTGAAATCTCCCGTGAGGAGACAGAGAAATTGTTCAAAATAGTAAAAACCCGCATAGACATGTACATCCTCGGAGACCTAAGGGCATTCAGTGGGGCCGGGAGAAAAGGCGCGACGAAAGTTTTTAATCATGAGCGGAAGAGCCCCTGGGTACGAGAACAGATGTTTTATGAGTCAAATGAGTCAATGAGTCATGAGTCATGAGTCAATGAGTCAATGAGTCAATGAGACAGATCTAAAAAATAGCATTTTTGGTAGAAACAATAAAATCAAGCATTACTTTTATTATGTTGTCTACTTACTTCATTGCTGCCTGCACATGCAAGGCCTATTTCTGACATGAAATCTCAGCCTGGGCTGTTTGTTGGCAGTATTCCAGGCTCTTCCACTACTACTATATGCATGCATGGCCCGAAGAATAGCCTTCCCAGACACCCTTTAAGAACCATTTAAACCATCAGATAAGACAATCCATATCTCTCTTGATATTACTAGTAGATGTTCCATACCAGAAGTGAAGTGCTGCCCCAAGGTTGTCCATATTAGTTGGTGCAAGGGTTTTAAACAGGCGAGCTAATGCAAATAAACACAAACATAATGCAAACAATGAATGCCCAAAGATTTTAATAAATCAACAAGCCTTGAAAGTTATTTAAAATTACAATGGGTATACAGTAAAACCTCAAAATAATTATTCGTACACTGTATGTTTCTAATATAAACACTGACTGTGTACAACTGTTCGACTCACTGTTTCATACTCCTCCTCCGACAAATAACAATTCAGTTTGTTTGCCTTGTAGCAACATTCACCTTTTGAGGCAAGTAAAACTGATTGGAAAAAGTGGTGAACTACATTGGGAATTACAGTATGTAAGGTTATCTACTGAAAACAACTCTGCAACTGATTGTTGGAACGAACGCTTTAAAACATAAATTGTCTGTCCTGGATCGTCTTCAGTGTGTTCATGATCCATAGCGATCCATGGAATAAAAGAACATTGTATCCCCCTTGATTTCTCGCTAAAACCTAATGAAGCTAAATTTTATTGTTTCTACCAAAACTTTTATTTTGTCATATCTGACTCATTGACTCATGACTCATTGACTCATTTGACTCATTACTACTTTAGACTCCCTGGGTACCGACTCTCACCGGACCATTTCCAAACGGTCGAGCAAATGCTGGCTCCTGATGGGGCACAAACATTGCTTTGTATTATTGTGCCCAATTGGCAAACAGTTTCTTTTGAGTTCTTTTCGTGAGTTCGTACACGACGGCTAATTTCACATTTTGTGAAGAACGTACACAAGCTATGTCAAAATTTTCTTTCTCTTTATGAACTTGGATATGGTTGATAGAAATTCAGCTCCAGAAGAGTTCGCTTGCATTTGACAAAGTTAGCGAGTTGGAATAACCACGATAGAGACTAAAAAAAGTGAATTCACTTTTTATGCGACGTTTTTCGTGGCTGTCAGCTATCATGGCATCTTTTAAAACTCCCTAATATTTACGAAGGCGTGATCGATGAAAGCGTAAATACCTGTTGTAAGCTCAAGATTGTATTTTTGGAAAAGCGTCTTTAGGTTTCGGGTAGACAGTATTTTGAAATGGACAGTTTATATCAAGCTGAAAGTTTCCTGATTGCGTGCATTTCTTTGGTGCATGAGCCAGATAAGCCGTGATCGAGTCAATAGCCGTTGTGTACGAACTCACGAAAAGAACTCAGGAGATGCTGTTCGCCGATTGGGCACAATAATACAAAGCATTTTTTGTGCCCAATCAGGAGCCAGCATTCGCTTGACCATTTGGAAATGGTCCGGTGAAAGTCAGTACCCAGGGGCTTTTCCGCCCATACTTGAAAACTTTCGTCGCGCCTTTTCTCCCGGCCCAACTAACCGCCCCTGGGTCTCCGAGGATGATACATGTATAAAGAACCGAGTGATTTAAGGACCTGACCATGATTGTAAAAAATGATATTAACTGCATGGTAAGGCAATTCTTGAAACAGTAATTTCTTGGACTTTGTCTCTTTAGCAAAAGAGATAATTTGAGTAGACATTTTACTGACATAAAATCCAACTTAAAGCTAGCTCAATCAATTTTGGGGTGCAAATTTCCCTCCAAGTATAAGCCTGACCGATTTTGAAACTCAATTTATTTTTCCCTCCGTTTATAAGCCCCTCCAAAAATAAACCCCTCAAAAAGGACCTTTGAAAAATATAAGCCCCAGGGCTTATTTTCAGAATTTTATGGTATATCAAAAACTCCACTCAGTGCTGAGGATCTGAATGGGGTTAACTGACTTGTGACAAATGGCAAAAAATATAACAGACTAAACCAAGAAAAAAAATACTGACTACCGATAGGGAAAAAATTAACCGACTGCTGACATGGTCCAACACTGTACAGATATTTGTATTCAGAAATAAGTCATATTTTTTATTTGTCTTTTATTTCCCCATTTTTTTGTCAAAAGTATTTTGCTTGATTTGTTTTCATCACATCGAGGGTCTTTCAGTTATCGGTAGCTCTATTTCGAGACCAGAGGTAAATGGCATCAAATTCCAGATTTGGTACTTGTAAAAGTTCCTGTCGTTAAATTACTTGAGTCAAATGGCTGTAAAATCCAAGTCTTGAAGGTTCGATTTTCCTCTCTTTCCCAGCATGTATAGAAGAATGCCTGTTTTGTACCTGCACCTCCTTTAAAACTTATTTCAGACCCATCAAATGGTGTGCCTTTGTTTCTTCCCCTTTTCTGGAGAAATCCTGGAAAGCGAGCACTCATTTCCTGCACAGCGTGTGGTAATCAAGCCTACAAGACATACTGCTGCAGTACTTTCACTGCCTGCTTTTTATCCATGTGGAAGTCATAAGTGAAGTTAAAAGAGTGATTGTAAGTTTCTTTTGAAAAGGTTAAGAGGTCGCGATCGAGTGCCACTGCAGCTTCATTCCAGTTGACATAGAAAATTATGAGGGATTCTTTGAGATTACTGAAAGGACTACACCTGACGAAATTAGGAGGTTCTCTTGGAAACTACTTTGCTTATCTGAGTGGCAAAACTCGCCTCTGCGGTTTATGGCGAGAACCAGTCTATAGCAACAGAAGGGTACTGGCAACTGGAAGTTCCAAATTTGGTTTCAGTCATAGGCAGCAGTGAGTTCAAAACATTCCACAGCTAAGGCACAAGCCATAAATAGGTATTCGCAAACGACCTGGGAAACAGACTGCAGTCACTAAAAATAATTTTGCTGAAATTCGACCCATATTCTTACTTGACCACTTATTCTCTCGTGATTACTTCGCTGGTCTTTGAACTGGGAAAAACTGACTCAAGACAGATTAAAGGGGTGCAGCCTCATCAGTGAGGGTGCTGAGTCAGCAGATGAAGAGTGTAGGAAGCGAAATGGTCTAATTCCTAAATCTTGCTCAGTCATGCGGAAACTCATCGACCTCAGCTTACATCATGTGCATCACATGTAGCGGACACTTTCGTCCTCACATTGGTCTCCTTAGCCACCTCCGAACTCACAAAATGTAATTGACGGCATCATGGAAGAAAACAAATTAAGGATAGAAAGATTGGTGATTTTATCTTTCCAAAACAAAGGTGAAATAAGCGATTGTGTAGCTTAAAGAAACCAGAATTTATTGAGGTTCCATTGCAATCAAATGATGAATTGACGATGAATGAAGAAGTTTTTTACTTACTGCATACGAGTTTAACCTGTGTGAATTAAATGACCAATGTAAAAAATTAACTCGTTTTGTTAATCATCAACCGAGATTTACCGAAAACCAATGAATATCGAAACTTTTAACCGACAACTGACAAAGTAATGAAATCTTTACCGACAACCGACATGTGGACCTGCCCATTCAGACCCTTAATGTTCCATCCGATATCCAGGCACCTCGAAGTTGATGTTTCAAAAACTCGGCTGGGTGTCATTTTTCAACCCACTTCTTGGTGTCTAAATATCAGATAAAACACTGCATGTTGTTTTTAAATCATTACTGCAGATATAATATGGTTTTATAATTTTTACTTAGGGTATTACATGTTAATCACATGCCATCTTGACCCCTCTCACATTTTCCTTGTTAAAGCCCTTTCCCTTTCTGGAAGCGATTCTAAGTTATAATTAATTATCAGAGACAATTAACTTTCTCTTAACATATTTTATACGTTTGTAAATTACCGTATTATATGCTGTACCTTATTTATATAAGTATATGTAATAGCTATAATAATAATGAAATCTAATGTAAAGAGAAAGTCTCACCTGTGGGCCTTCATGGCCTTCCTTGCCTTTTGAGATTCTTTTCAGTTTCAGAATGTGTATATTTTGTGCAATTTATTGTTTTTTGCCTTTCATTTATATGTAAAAAAGGCATTTAAGAAAGGCATTTTCAAAAAGCAATAAACCAATAAAAAGACTAACCTTCCCTTCCAAACATTCAGGGTGTGCCAAAACCTATGTCTGACTGTCTGGGACAGGTAGAAATGTAGTTTAGACATGTAAACCTTTGTCATGACTTGTCCATGGGACAAGCACATTTTTAACTACAAAAAACACTTAAACAGCTAAGAATTGACTTCAAATTGCAGTAGAATTAGTGTTCCTGCCCCTAACATTTGCTATGCAAAATTTGCCTGTTTTCGGGAGATTTTTGCAGCTGCAATTGACTATGTGCTATTATGCACTAATTCCATTGTCTTCTTTTGTTTACTTGTAGCTATTTCGCACTTGTACGTATTATTTGTTTCACGGGTCAAGTAAAATCACTCTAGTACCTCTTAACTCTATCTTAATTTAATGCTTTAAGAAAGTTGAATAATATTATGTTTATTTTTTGTTGAAAGGGTGTAAATGAAACTAGACTGCGAGCAGTCTCTTGTTTTTCTTTGCAAAGTTACTGCACGCGAAACCTAAGCACGCGAGCGGCGAAGTTGGGAGCCGCAAGAAATGACGGTGTAAGCCTGAGAAGAAAAAATCCATCTTTTCTCGTCTCGTCTCTGTAATAATAACGTCATGGTTTGCAATCGCACTGGATGAGATAAGAACTAGACGGATTTTGAGAGAAAAGCGGACTGCAAGCAGTCTAAAAGAAAACTTGCAGTCCATGTTTTTAATGAGTAAACACTGTGGTGAGTGTTTCGTAAAGCATTAGACGTAAGGAGACCTATAATTTGTTGTCGTTTGACCGGGTTTAGAGACCATATTGAGTCACAACGTCCAACAGGGAATTAGATGTGCATACAAATAACACCACAGACAATGCATTTCCTTGTGAGACATATTGTTCAGCCATTGACGAGGAAAAAACAAAGACTTTTAAATGATGTATTTTAAACATGGTTAAACTGTTGTTTATTGAGACACCTAGACCATGGCTAGGCCTTAAACACATGTTACTTTGACTTTGTTTAAGTAATCCCCCCATTATTTTAAGGATTGTCCATATGTCAGGGCAGTGTCTCTTTAAACTAGCTGAATCAGAAAGGCATAATCCCTTATGAGTTTCTGGCTGGATTTAATTGAAGAAAAAGGTTAAATAATGTTTTTTTTATGTTGAAAGGGTGCAAAGGAAGCTGCAGCTCATGTCTTTTAAGTGTAAACATTGTGCCAAGTGTTTTAGCCGAGCAGGAGACCTAAGGAGTCATGACAGAGGAAAAGCCTTATGAATGTAAACGGTGTGGCAAGTCTTTTAGCCGAACAGAAAACTTAAAGAGTCATGAAAGGGTTCACACTGGGGAAAAGCCTTATGAATGTAAACAGTGTGGCAAGTGTTTTAGTCAATCAGGATACCTAAGGGTTCATGAAAGAGTTCACACTGGGGAAAAGCCTTATAAATGTAAACAGTGTGGCAAGTGTTTTAGCCGAGCAGGACACCTAAGGATTCATGAGAGATTTCACACTGGGGAAAAGCCTTATGAATGTAAACAGTGTGGCAAGTGTTTTAGTCAAGCAGGACACCTAAGGATTCATGAGAGATCTCACACTGGGAAAAAGCCTTGTGAATGTAAACAGTGTGGTAAGTGTTTTAGTCAAGCAGGAGACCTAAGGAGACATGAAAGAGTTCACTCTGGGGAAAAGCCTTATGAATGTAAACAGTGTGGTAAGTGCTTTACTCTCTTGTCAAACCTAGGGAGACATGAAACAATCCACACTGGAGAAAAGCCATATGAATGTAAACAGTGTGGGAAGTGTTTTAGCCTCATAGGAACCCTAAGGATTCATGAAAGAGTTCACACTGGGGAAAAGCCTTATGAATGTAAACAGTGTGGCAAGTGTTTTAGCCAAGCAGAAGCCCTAAGGGTTCATGGAAGAGTTCACACTGGGGAAAAGCCTTTTGAATGTAAACAGTGTGGCAAGTGTTTTAGCCGAGCAGAAGCCCTAAGGGTTCATGGAAGAGTTCACACTGGGGAAAAGCCTTTTGAATGTAACCAGTGTGGCAAGTGTTTTAGCCGAGCAGGAGACCTAAGGATTCATGAAAGAATTCACACTGGGGAAAAACCATATGAATGTAAACAGTGTGGCAAGTGTTTTAACCAAGTAGTAAACCTAAGGAGACATAAAAGAGTTCACACTGGGGAAAAGCCATATGAATGTAAACAATGTGGCAAGTGTTTTAGCCTCATAGGTAACCTAAGGAGACATGAAAGAGTTCACACTGAGGAAAAGCCTTTTGAATGTAAACAGTGTGGCAAGTGTTTTAGCCAAGCAAGAGACCTAAGGATTCATGAGAGATTTCACTCTGGGGAAACGCCTTTCAAATGTAAACATTGTGGCAAGTGTTTCACTCATCTAAGGGTTTTTAAGAGGCATGAAGAAGTCCACATTAAAAAAGTGTTGCATAAATGTGACAATAGCAAAGGTCCATTTAAACGTGTGCTTCGTAATCGTAAGAGAGCAGGAAGTAATATAAGGACGGGATTGACCAACAGCACACTGTCAGAGAGAGAGACTGTAAACAGTAGTATAAAAGACCAACAACTGGACGTTACTGAGAAACACAGCTGTTGGATTTGTCAAGAGGAGATGAGAAGTGAATCTCTTCTTCTTCAACATTATGAAAACCATATGAGGCGTGTAGCTGAAGATAGCTTGTAAAGACTTCGGTCTTAAGCTTTTGTTTAGTCTTTTTTGTTTTTTTTTTTTTTTTGAGGTTTTGTCTTTTAACTGTAAGATGCAGTAAGGATGACTTCGTTTGTTGCTAGATCAATCGTTCCAGGGAAGATTAATCTGTTTTGTTTACAAATTCAACTTTTTTTACTGTGGGGCGGGTTTGTAAATAGATATTGCTAAGTAGACATTGCGTTTTCTGAAAATTGACAGAGCAGTTCTTTGTTGATCGTTTTCTTTTATATAAAGAAAATCAAGGCATTTAATGCTGACGGTCCCTTTTTCTACAGATGTTCCCGCTGTGCATTTTAATAGTTCTAGCAATAATTAAGAAATAGCGTCTTCTTCCCTCCGCCTGGCCTCTGTGCAACAAAAAGAAGCCTCTACACCATAAGTGACCTACAAATTCTCCAGACTGTTCTATATACATTTTCGTCGATAATTAGTTGGACAAATTTGATAAAAGATCAATTCATTTCCCCTTTAATGATAATTTAACGTGTTCTCATAAGCTTTTTCCCTGATTATGTACTAATTTTGTCTGCAAAAGATTTTTGTTGCTCACTCTTGTGACTTAAAGGGTTATATTAATTTAAACCCAATGGTTTATTTGTATTATCGCGCGTTTCCCAGGTCCCTAAAATTTGCAGTGTAGCACACTCAGGTCGTTCAGTGAAATAAGAATCATGAACGTCAGGCGAAGTTTCGAGTTATTTTTTCGGTGGCTTTCGTTTAGACCCAACTTTACAACCTTTACTTTACGTCCGTCAAGTTTCGGCAATAAGGGATCCATTTTTTTTTCAGTTAACCCTGTCGCTTAGAAGGGTGACCTCCGTTTAATAGTAGAGAAAAAACTGAGTTGCCCAAAATTTGGGGGTTGTGGAGGCCGTCCCCCGGCCCGTACGCCTATGTGCCCATATTAAAGCGAAGGTATCCTTCTAAGTGAATTTGTTCATTTAAAAAAGACACGGGTCAGTAAGAAATTTTCGTTTCTAGACAAGGTCTTCTTATTGAGGTATATTTATTCCAGACTTTAAAAGGGCCTTAAAAGACCAAAATATGGGATCAAAAATTTTGATCCTGATCCCAAAATTGTTGCAAACTTCGATCCCCGATTAACTGCGTATACTTGACAAAAACTGGATGAAATACTAAATAAAGTGTCTCATTTCGATTTTATTTTAGTCACACTAGGGCCATTTATACGAGGAAAATAGGGCGATCCCGTACCTATTTGAAAGATTGTTTTTGATTAGCTGGGAAAACAATAGGGATTGTCACATAACAATGCCGCTATCCCTGAAAACAATGGAAGTGCAGATTAAAGGGGACCACTGAAATAAGAGGTTTATAACGGTGCAGGTCTACTGGGAAAATAAGACTATCCCGTATACACGACACATTAAGACGCGACTTAGCAAAGATGCGTCTTATCGAAGAACAGGTGTTAGCTAAGGGCTGTTCTTAGATAAGACGCGTCTTAGCTAAATTTCTAGCGAAATGTGCCGTTTATACGGGATAGTTTGTGTCTTATTTAGGACGCGTCCTATGTAAGACGCGTCTTATTTTCCTCGTTTAAACGCCCCTATTAGTTACTGACTGGAGAATTAAGTTTGGCTCCCGTCTTTATTTTCGAGTTATTATTTCTATCATAATGCGTTCCACTTTAGAGCTCTAATAATAATAATATATCGTTTTTTGCTCTGTTGGTGTCATTTAAACCTTCCTTTTAAAATTTGATCAATTTCATGTAAATGATGATGGAGTATAATTGATGGAGTATAAAACTCTAGGATAAAAAGCGTTTACTCTAGCTAGCTTTGTTTCAGTCGCCGCCTAGCTAAGTTTAGGAGTGCGTCTAGTCATACATCACTATCTAACTATCATACAGGTGTAGGTTTTGATAAAACTTCGTTGGGTTCCCCCTTCGGCATAATATAGTGAGCAGTGCAGGGGGTACTCCACTATACAATTAAATTGACGGGGTTGCTCGTCGAAAAATGTCGAGAACAACCTTAAAGGGTACGAGAATCTTGTTTAATGGGCCTGTCCCAAATTCATTTACACCTCTATAAGGTAACAATTCAACAACAACAAATTATATTACTGGCACTGCAAATTTTAATAGTAATAAAGATAACTTTCCAACACTTTCTTCTCAAGCACTTTTTGAAAATATTGTTAAAAAAACTTTATCCTTATTATAAACATAGGCACGTTAAACGTGCATGAGCTAATTTGCATGAGCTATTTTGAATGCCTCAGTGTAACTATAACACTTCGGTGTATTAAACCTTACCAAGAGTGATGAATCTACCTTTTTCATCCTAAATGTAGATTTGGTTTTTGTGCGAAATTGGGTATTGCGCTACGTAAATGAAAACGCCAAACGCTCAGCTGAGTCGATCCTCAACCTATATATTCACTTTCCTCCGTCTTTCCCTGTTACATCTGTTGCAAGTTAAACAAATTCTTAAAGTAACAAATTTCTACTCACCAAACGTTGATTAGAAGGAAAACTCTAAGGTTTCGTCGCAGTTTCTTAAGCCAAAATGTGACTCATCGAATACTGAATATTACGAAATACCAGGATTTTTATCATTGTGGTAGATGGTTGCATCATCATAGTTCACGAGGTTTTCACGTGCGATTGTACTCAGTGAAACAGTCTTTAACTCCGACAACTTATTTCTTCATGTTTTAGAAGCTATTGCTTCTTAAAAGACAAGAGCCTTTTTGAAGGCATTGGTTACAAAACGAAACAGGTCTTCATACGTCCAAGTTACTATTTATCATTCTGAAAAGCCAATCTACATGAGATGTACAGTCACACAGCTGGCACGTGAAAGTGTTGGACTTTGCCCCCTTTCGTGGTTTGTACGTGAGGGAATTCGAGTTATCACACAGTAAACTAGTAAACAGAATTATAAAAATAACTCTTGCACACAATTTGCATGTGAAGATGTTGGTCTTTGGCCCTTTTACAATTCGTACGTTAAAAAAAAGGCAAATTGTTTACTACAAAATTTTCTCAAACGATTTTAAGAAATCACCTCGGCTGCATTACAACATCTGCAATTAAATTATATTTCATGCAACGTCAAGGTTGATAACCTAACATTTATTAACATTTGTGAGACAGTCTTTAACTCCGACAACTTATTTCTTCATGTTTTAAGAGCTATTGCTTCTTAAAAGACAAGAGCCTTTTTTAGGGCATTGGTTACTAAACGAACAGGTCTTCATACGTCCAAGTTACTATTAGTATTGTGACAAGCCAACCTCCATGAGATGTACAGTCACACAGCTGGCACGTGAAAGTGTTGGACTTTGCCCCCTTTCGTGGTTCGTACGTGAGGGAATTCGAGTTATCACACAGTAATCTAGTAAACAGAATTATAAAAATAACTCATGCACACAATTTGCATGTGCAGATGATGGTCTTTGGCCCTTTTACAATTCGTACGTAAAAAAAAGGCAAATTGTTTTATTACAAAATTTTCTCAAGCGATTTTAAGAAATCACCTTGGCTTTATTACAACATCTGCAATGAAATTATGTTTCATGCAACGTCAAGGTTCATAGCCTAACATTTATTAACTTCCAAGAAAATTATCAAACTGCCGAAATATATTTCTATTTGTATCATGTTACTCCACTCAATACAACAGTGTCTAATTATTGTGTCAACTAGCTTCTTCCAATTTTATTCCCTAACTCTACTGTTTCTACTTAAGTTACGCATCTTTACTACGGTAAATAAAATACGTTTCAGAAACTATAATACTTAGTATGCAGGAAGGATGTATCATGTTGTTCACTTATTATTCTTTTTTTTTTTGTTTTGCCAGAACGAAAAAGGTCTGTTGAACTTTGTAAGCGAGAGAATAATATTTTTAAAGCTTGTTTACAGGATTAACAATACTCGGTACAGCTTTCACAAAAATAAGCTGCCTTTTTAAACTTCTAAAACCACATTTCAGAGGGCGCATACTTTCGAATTAAAGTCTATATCTAAATATCAATTATTGCGTCACTGGAAGAGCTTTGAAAACATATGATCTTTTATACTCTACCCAGTTGTAGCAGGTGAAACAGAACTCATACTGACGTGCCTTGTACCGCTAGCCGAATTAGGTCAGAAATGCCTTGAAGCAGCATCCATACTAAAATATGAACCCTTAAACAGCTGTATCACTGTACACAGCGTTTGAATCATGAAGATATTTAATGTAATTCTTCCAAACACCTGTAGCCGTAATAAAAGACGAAACAATTGTGAAGAATTAAGATGGCGGTCTCAAAGTGCCCTTGTTCGACCTTTACCAATGCCATGTTTAAATAGACGCCAAGATCTCATTGGTTCCTAAACATCAACTCATAGTACCTTCAACCTTATTGGCTCTTGCAACAAACATCCCAACATACAGAGCCACAAAGATACAAAGCCACAAAGATACATACGCTCACACCACTGATATATGAGCTATTTTTTCAAAATAGCTCAATAAAGCATCTTATTTCTAACAGAATTCTTAACAACTCGGGCAGCAGTCATTTTAAGTTTTAGCACCCTAAGCGGTACCAATCCACCAATTTAAACCCCTAAAAGGTACGACAAGCATCCATGTCAATTTTATAGGGGAGTACCCCCCTCCCAGGGGGAGCAGTGCACCAGCTCTCAGCAAATCCAGTTAGCTTGGATCTAAAAAATGGGTGCCCTACAACGGTGTAAATGTGCGTAACGTATCAATCCCAGAACGAGAATTTTTCTCCCAGAATCCATATTTGGCAGTCAAAGACCAATTCCGGTAGCTCAGTCACCTTAGTGTATATCTCCAACAAAATGAGTCAACAGGTCAACCTGCAGAGTCAGTAATGTGCCAATAAAGCAATAAAAATGAAATATCTCTCAATTTAAGGAAAGTACCAGGGTTTTGTAGTCCAGCTAGTCCAGCAGATCGGATTGCATGCACTTTGGTACCCGATTGAAATGTTTCAACGTTAAACTTCTACAGAACTGAATTTTAAAACGTTTGCAAAGCATTTCAGAAGTTGCAGAATTTTGTGGTCTTTTTTGTTCTGTCGGAAAACCCGTAAGCCATCCCTCCTTAAAATACTTCTAATCCTATTCCTACGGCTTGTGATCCCAGATCCTGCCGCTGTATTTCCTGATCACACCCTAATTTTTACTGTTGACCCCTGATCCCATATACCTCGTTACCACCTTGTTTTAGCGGGAGAGTCTTGTAACTTAGTAAAAAGGGAACATCTGTAATAAGCGGGTGTCCATTCACAAAGCCGCGTTCAACTGTACACTGTACAAATGTTTGCATTAATGAGATATTTTATTAACCCAGGAGCCTACTACTAATCGTCTATTGTTCTCACTACGCTTTTCCTTACTTTTGGGATGACGCAACTTCTGGAAAAGGTCATGCACGTTAGACGTGCCTGTGTTTACGGTTGGGGGACTAAGTACTCCTCCCTAGGTAACTACTTCATGTACATTGATACAAGCGAAATCACAGGGAACAGAGTTAGATCTTGTGGATTGATCACAAGTGCTGAACCTCATTTAAAAAGGTAAGAAAAGCTCCTCAATACATGATATATCATCTTAGAATGAATTCAGTGACAGGACTGATCGACAGTAAAGAAAAAACAGTATTTTAGAAGCCCATTAATGACAGCTTCTTCCCTGGCGGGCGATTGTACTTGTAGCCTGTACTGCATAGATACCAGGACCTGAACAATCGATGAAATCGATAATCGATGGCAATCGATAACAATCGATGACAATCGATATCAATTAATCGACTGATATTGATAATCGATGGACAATCGATCACTAAAATTTTTGTGATTATTGATTATCATCGATTATCAATATCAATCGATAATCGATGGGAATCGATCAATTAACATAATAGATTGTTATCAATATGCAATATCAATCGATTACCTATTCAGTCAAACATTTCAATTGCCAATTTCATCGAGTACTAATAAAGTTACACATTACACATTAACAATACGCTTAATCGTGTTTGAACGACGACTGCGTCCCAGGTCAGTTGAATCTTTGCAATAAACTCAAAGCGAAATCGATCAAGTTTGTACACTGACAACGAGATATGTTAATTGTCTTAATTATTTGTGCTGTTTTTCACGGAGCCACATCGATGAACAATTCTCAAACTTTGCTACTGAGGTTTAAAAACAATGTACGATCTGTGTACAATCCCGCGATACCTGAAGATACAGAGACATGAATAGTGCCAATCAATGGTAATCGATAAATTTCGCGACCACCTAAGTGTGATTATCGATTGATCATTGATTGGCCGATGCCAATCGATGCTAATCAACCGTAATTAATCGATTGTCATCGATTGATCGATTGATTTTCCGATCATCGATTTTCATCGATTGTTCAGGTCCTGTAGATACGGGGCGCAGAGGAGTTATTTGTGACCTTGATTGCTGTTAAAATTTACAGTTGAAAGCGCCAATCGCCTTTGTTTATACAGGCATCAATGTTTGGAAAGAGAGGGGAGCAGAGGGTACGGTATGGCATTTGAAATCTCCCGTGAGGAGACAGAGAAATTGTTCAAACTGTACAGTAAAAACGCGCATATACATGTATAAAGAACCTTTGATTTAAGAACCTGACTATGAGTGTAAAAAATGATATTAACTCCATGGTAAGGCAATTCCTGAAAAAGTAATTTCTTGGACTTTGTCTCTTTAGCAAAAGTGATAATTTGAGTAGACATTTTACTGACATTACTGGCATTTTACTGACATAAAATCCAACTAAAAGCTAGCTTAATCAATTTTAAGGTGCAAATTTCCCTTCAAGTATAAACCTGGCCGATTTTGAAACTCAATTTATAAACCAGAATTTATTGAGGTTCCATTGCAATATTATTATTGCAATAATAATCATTTATCATCAATTTATCATTTAATTATTAAATGATAAATTGATGATAAATGAAGAAGTTTTTTACTTACTGCATAATAGTTTAAACTGTGTGAATTAAATAACTAATATGAAAAACTAACTTGTTTTGTTAATCGTCAACCGAGATTTACCGACAACTGACAAAGTAATGAAATCTTTACCGACAACCAACATGTGGACCTGCCCATTCAGATCCTTAATGTTCCATTTGATATCCAGACACCTCGAAGTTGGTGTTAAAAAAAAAACTCGGCTGCGTGTCGTTTTTCAACCCACTTCTCGGTGTCTAAATATCGGACGAAACACTCCATGTTGTTTTTAATATATTACTGCAAATATAATATGGTTTTATAATTTTTACATAGGGTATTATATGTTAATCACATGCCATCTTGACCCCTCTCACATTTTCCTTGTTAAAGCCCTTTCCCTTTCTGGAAGGGATTCTAATTTATAAGTAATTATTAGAGACAATTAACTTTCTCTTAATATATTCTATACGTTTGTAAATTACCTTATTATATGCTGTACCTTATTTATATGAGTATATGTAATAGCTATAATAATAATGAAATCTAATGTAAAGAGAAAGTCTCACCTGTAGGCCTTTATGGCCTTCCTTGCCTTTTGAGATTCTTTTCAGTTTCGGAATGTGTATATTTTGTGTAATTTATTGTTTTTCGCCTTTTATTTATATGTAAAAAAGGTATTTTAAAAAATCTATAAACCAATAAGAAGACAAACCTTCCCTTCCAAACATTGAGGGTGTGCCAAAACCTATGTCCGATTGTCTGGGACAGGTACAAATGTAGTTCAGACATGTCAACCTTTGTCATGACTTGTCCATGGGACAAACACATTGTTAACTAGAAAAATCACAGAAACAGTTAAGAATTGACTTCAAATTGCAGTAGAATTAGTGGTCCTACCCCTAACATTTGCTATGCAAGCTTTGCCTGTTTTCGGGAGATTTTGGCAGCCACAATTGACTATGTGCTATTATGCACTAATTCCATTGTCTTCTTTTGTTTACTTGTAGCTATTTCGCACTTGTAGGTATTACTTGTTTCACGGGTCAAGTAAAATCACTCTAGTACCTCTTTACTCTATCTTAATTCAATGTGTTAAGAAAGTTGAATAATATTATGTTTATTTTTTGTTGAAAGGGTGTAAAGGAAACTAGACTGCGAGCAGTCTCTTGTTTTTCTTTGTAAAGTTACTGCACACGAAACCTAAGCACATGAGCGGCGAAGTCGGGAGCCGTGAGAAACGAGGGCGTAAGCCTGAGAAGAAAAAATCCGTCTTTTGTCGTCTCGTCTCTGTAATAATAACGTCATAGTTTGCAATCGCGCTGGATGAGGTAAGAACTAGACGGATTTTAAGAGAAAAGGTGGACTGCAAGCAGTCCAAAAGGAAACTGCAGTCCATGTTTTTAATGAGTAAACACTGCAGTAAGTGTTTCGTAAAGCATTAGATGTAAGGAGACCTATAATTTGTTGTCGTTTGACCGGGTGTAGAGACCATATTGAGTCACAACTTCCAACGGGCAATTAGATGTGCATATAAATAACACCACAGACAATGCATTTCCTTGTTGAGCCATTGACTGAAAAAACGCGGCTCAGTCAGGTTTAAATAATGTATTTTAAACATGGTTAAGCTGTTGTTTATTGAGACACCTAGACCATGGCTAGGCCTTAAACACATGTTAACTTTGACTTCGTTTAAGTAATCTCCCCATTATTGTAAGGATTGTCGATATGTCAGGGCAGTGTCTCTTTAAACTATCTGGATCAGAAAGGCATAACCCATTATGAGTTTCTGGCTGGATTTAATTGAATAAAAAGGTTAAATAATGTCTTTTTTATGTTAAAAGGGTGCAAAGGAAGCTGCAGTTCATGTCTTTTAAGTGTAAACATTGTGCCAAGTGTTTTAGCCGAGCAGGACACCTAAGGATTCATGAGAGATTTCACACTGGGGAAAAGCCTTATGACTGTAAACAGTGTGGCAAGTGTTTTAGCCAAGCAGGAGGCCTAAGGAGACATGAAAGAGTTCATTCTGGGGAAAAGCCTTATGAATGTAAACAGTGTGGCAAGTGTTTTAGCCAAGCAGGAGACCTAAGGAGGCATGAAAGAGTTCACACTGGGGAAAAGCCTTTTAAATGTAAACAGTGTGGCAAGTGTTTTAGCCAAGCAAGAGACCTAAGGATTCATGAGATATTTCACACTGGGAAAAAGCCTTATGACTGTAACCAGTGTGGCAAGTGTTTTAGTGAAGCAGGAGACCTAAGGAGACATGAAAGAGTTCACACTGGAGAAAAGCCTTATGAATGTAAACAGTGTGGCAAGTGTTTTAGCCGAGCAGGAGACCTAAGGATTCACAAAAGAGTTCACACTGGGGAAAAGCCCTATGAATGTAAACAATGTGGCAAGTGTTTTAGCATCATAGGAAACCTAAGGATTCATGAAAGAGTTCACACTGGGGAAAAGCCTTTTGAATGTAAACAGTGTGGCAAGTGTTTTAGCCAAGCAAAAGCTCTAAGAGTTCATGGAAGAGTTCACACTGGGGAAAAGCCTTTTGAATGTAAACAGTGTGGCAAGTGTTTTAGCGGAGCAGGAGTTCTAAGGATTCATGAAAGAGTTCACACTGGGGAAAAGCCCTATGAATGTAAACAATGTGGCAAGTGTTTTAGCCTCATAGGAAACCTAAGGATTCACAAAAGAGTTCACACTGGGGAAAAGCCTTATGAATGTAAACAGTGTGGTAAGTGTTTTAGCCGAGCAGGAGTTCTAAGGATTCATGAAAGAGTTCACACTGGGGAAAAGCCTTTTGAATGTAAACAGTGTGGCAAATGTTTTAGTGTAGCAGGAAACTTAAGGATTCATGAAAGAATTCACACTGGGGAAAAGCCCTATGAATGTAAACAGTGTGGAAGATGTTTTAGCCGAACAGACATTCTAAAAAGTCATGAAAGGGTCCACACTGGCAAAAGGCCTTTCAAATGTAAACATTGTGGCAAGTGTTTCACTCATCTAAGAGTTTTTAAGAGGCATGAAGAAGTCCACATTAGAAAAATGTTGCATAAATGTGACAGTAGCAAAGGTCCATGTAAACGTGTGCTTCGTAATCGTAAGAGAGCAGGAAGTAATATAAGGGCAGGATTGACCACCAGCACACTGTCACAGAGAGAGACTAGAAACAGTAGTATAAAAGACCAGCAACTGGACATTACTGAGAAACACAGCTGTTGGATTTGTCAAGAGGAGATGAGAAGTGAATCTCTTCTTCTTCAACATTATGAAAACCATATGAGGCATGTAGCTGAAGATGGCTTGTAAAGACTTCGGTCTTAAGCTTTTGTTAAGTCTTATTTCTATTTTTTTGAGGTTTTGTCTTTTAATTGTAAGATACAGTAAGGATGACTTCGTTTGTTGCTAGATCAATCGTTCCAGGGAAGATTAATCTGTTTTGTTTAAAAATTCAACTTTTTTTTCTGTCAGGCGGGTTTGTAAATAGACATTGATAAGTAGACAGTGCGTTTTCTGAAAATGGACAGAGCAGTTCTTTGTTGATCGTTTTCTTTTATATAAAGAAAATGAAGGAATTTAATGCTGAAGGTCCCTTTTCTACAGATGTTCCCGCTGTGCATTTTAATAGTTCTAGCAATAATTAAGAAATAGCGTCTTCTTCCCTCCGCCTGGCCTCTGTGCAACAAAAAGAAGCCTCTGCACCATAAGTGACCTACAAATTCTCCAGACTGTTCTATATACATTTTCTTCGTTAATTGGTGGGAAGAATTTGATAAAGGATCAATGCATTTCCCCTTTAATGATAATTTAACCAGTTTTCGTAAGCTTTTCCCTTGATTATGTACTAATTTTGTTTGGAGAAGGTTTATGTTGCTCACTCTTGTGACTTAAAGGGTTATATTTATTTTAAACCCAATGGTTTATTTGTATTATTGCGCATTTCCCTGGTCCCTCAAATTTACAGTGTAACACCCTCAGGTCGTTCAGTGAAATAAGAATCGATAACGTCAGGCGAAGTTTCGAGTTATTTTTTCGGTGGCTTTCGTTTAGACTCAACTTTACAATCTTTACTTTACATCCTTCAAGTTTCTCTAAATTTAACGCGCCAAAACGGCAATAAGGGATAAATTTTTTTTTTCAATTAACCCAGTCGCTTAGAAGGGTGACCTCCCTTTAGTAATAGAGAAAAAAAAACTGAGTTGCCAAAATTTGGGGTTGGGGGTGGGGCTGCCGTTCCCCGGCCCGTACGCCTATGTGCTCATATTAAAGCGATGTTATTCTTCTAAGTGAATTTGTTCATTTAGCAGTGCCCGGGGGCATCCTCGGATACCCAGGGGCAGATAGTGGGGGCGAGGGAAAGTCTAAACGGGCGGAAAAATATGGCACAAAAGAAAAGTAAAGAACGGCCAGAAGAGCCCCTGGTGACAATGTCTTACCAGACCACTTCCAAACGGTCGCCGCCGTTCTGGCTTCTGATTGGTGCAAGAAAACTTGTGTTTTTCTGGTGCCAATCGGAAGCCAGAACGGCGGCGACCGTTTGGAACTGGTCTGGTAAGACATTGTCCCCAGGGGCTCTTCCCGCCGTTCTTTACTTTTCTTCGTGCCTTATTTTTCCGCCCGTTTAGACTTTCCCTCGCCCCCACTATCTGCCCCTGGGTCTCCGAGGATGTGCGGGGGGTACTCCCCTATAAAATTAAGTTGACGGGGTTGCTCGTCGAAAAATTTCGAGAACACCCCTAAAAGGTACCAGAACATTGTTTAATGGGCCTGTCCCAAATTCATTTCCACCTCTATAAGGTAACAATTCAACAACAACAAATTATATTACTGGCACTGCAAATTTTAATAGTGATAAAGATAACTTTCCAACACTTTCTTCTCAAGCACTTTTTGAAAATATTGTTAAACATCTTTATCCTAATCATAATAAAGCATATTATTTCTGACAGAATTTCGAGTTAACAACTCTGGCAGCAGTCATTTTAAGTTTTGGCACCCTAAGCGGTACCAATCCACCAATTTAAACCCCTAAGGGACTGGTCAAAAAGTATAGGGGGGGGGGGCCGGAGCATTTGGAAATACGGTTGATAAAAAACACATGACCCACCCCCTCCCTTCGGCACAAAAATGACTGACCCACCCCTAAAGCAAGGTTGGAAATTGCATGACCCACCCCCTAGTTAAAACATGGATGTTCGGTTTCCTCTTAATAATCCAATAAAACCTTGTTCTGTGCTTTACAAAATTTGTTGATACACTGCTACAAGCAATATCAAAATCACAGAAATCATACCTTTCACTAAAAAGACAAATGTGAAAAACCGAACATTTCTTGTTTCAAGGGACGTTATGAGTCTTGACACAAATATACAGCAAAACGAGGGTATATTGAATTTATCTGTCACAAAGCATATGAAAATTTCAACAAAGACAACCCATTCCCACACATTACTTGCCGGAAATGCTTAGATTAATCCTCAACGAAAATTTCTTCCACTTCAGTGGAAAGCAATACCGTGCTACAAAACCATGGAACTGCAATGGGCACAAAGACAGCAGTTTGGATTCTTTTGCCGATATTTTCATGACATATATTGAAACAACAACTCTAAGCAAAACTGTCTTTAGAACAACAGTTTGGAAATGCCACGTACACGATATCTTTGCCCTATGGGACATGAGTAAACCAGACATCGAAGCCTTCATTGAACAAGCAACCTTACATCACCTAACTATTGAATTCACGGCCGAAACATTTGACACTGAGACTGCGTTTTTAGACACTGTTGTATACAAAGGCACAAGATTCAAGGAAAATCTATCCTTGATGCAAAGACACATTTTAAACAAACGGAAAGCTTCTTGCACACACATTTCACCTCGTGTCACCCTCCAAATGTTAAAAAAGAATTTGTCAAAGGAGAAGCCTTAAGAATCCTACGAAAAAACTCCTCAGAAACAACCTTTGAGGAAAATAATTCAAATTTAAAAAAAAACGCTTGACGGACGGAGGCTACCCACAATCTTTCAGGGGCACCCAACGTCAATTTTCGGAAAATATTTGTTCGAAAGACGATTTGAGATCTAGAATTTTCGGAACATTTGTTGTAAAATTTCTTGCTTGTCTGCCTCTCCTAGGATTTTCGAACATCTAAAAAAATGGTATAATTGCCCATTTTTAACGGATTTTTACCCTAAGGTCACCTAGAATTTTCGAGAGCCTTTTTTCTGGCTGAAATTTTCGAAAAGTTAAGCTTTGATCCCTATAATTTTCGTATCACTAGACTTTCAGCTAGGAGATCCGAACAGATGAAAAATTTTTAGGGGATAAAAATATGCCTATATCTACTCTTTAAATACCAAAATACGTTTAACAATGCTATGTTTAAGTGGTTTTGAACCATATTCTCGTTGGGTGCCCCCTATCTTTGATAGGAAACCTACTATCAGAAATAAAATTCACAAAAGGGAGTCTAAACTTGTAAAACAAAACGACAAGGAGGAAAAAGAAATATTGCCATTCGTGACACAATACCAGCCCTCAGTGTAGATACTATAAAGGAAGCTTGAATGAAAAAATGGAATCTTATACAAAACCAACTATACCTTCAATAAATTTTAAAAGAACCCCCAATCATTTCCTCACAAAAAAGGAAAATTGTTAACGGAACATGCTCGTTAGAGCCGAAAAAAAAAAAAGGTTGACAGAGGGTTCCACGCCCGTATAGATGTGCGGCCTGTCAACCTTTGTATTTTCTCGCACAAAAGGGTTGTGAGTATTTTAGCAATAACTCCAGCTGGCTGTGTTTTATATAACAAGTGTAGTCAACTTTCTCGTTAGTAGTTAGTAAAAAATAGGTT